AGCTCAGCGGGTTCTTGTACTTCTCACCCGCGAAATAATGTGTCCACCAGTATAGACCGCCGGCCGTAGGCATCGCGGACGCCATATCCGCCTGTTGTCATTAATATGGGCGCAATCGCAATCGACGAGTCGGGGACATACCATCGCAAGACCGACAAAAAAGATGAGGATACTCGCGGTAAACCATCCCTATCACTATTAGTCGCGTCCGGAAGAAAGCAAGAAAATAACGAACCCAAACCATCCCGACTGGACCAGCTGGAAGTGAGAATGCAATGGTGGACGCGATCGACGGAACCAAACCCATGATACTAAACGCGACCGCAAAGATTTCTAGCGTCGAATACTGTCGTCGCAGCTCCTGTTTGTACCCCAATTCCGCTGTTGTAATCAGTCTGCTGCGCGTCGGACGCCAAACGTTAAAGCTGCGACTTACCCAGGAGCTGCGTGTCGTCGACCACCTGTCGATGGCCATCGACGCCATGGTCAGCGCTTGTGGCATCAACGGTGGTCTGCGAGCGCATCTTCAGGATCATCTTGGCGTCCAAGCAGTCTCAAATGACTGCAGAATCGATGATCGTCAAAAATGGGGAGGACGAAGACTGAAGAAGTCGGGAAGAGGTCAACCCAGCGGGGACAATGGAGTTATCTGCATCGGGTCGGACCCGGGAACAGGTACCGCAGACTAGATAGACTAGAGGGACATGGTGTGAGCACTTGCAAAGTCAAAAAACGACCGTGTGCAAGGACATTGGATGTGGCATTGGATGTGGACGACCTGGACGAAAGGGGGCTATCCTGGAAACTCTGATGGGGAATGGATCGGCCGACTGAGAAGCGGGAGATGATCGTCGCGGACCATTCAGACGACATTATGGGGTCTGGATTATGGCCTCCACAGCTCCTGGCTGACCTTGGATGATGCAGCCATACATTTGCGATACCGCACCTGCCCGCCCCTAATTGGTAGTCCACAGACTCCTCTACGTTCTCTGTTATATTACTGTTACATACTTACTGATAGTGATAACCGAGTAAATTCGATGATACTCTGTATCGCCGCCACCTCTCCAGAATTGTGGTTCCATGGACGCGGAAGATCTCGAGTTCATCACTCACGGTCGGGTGGCATCTGGTTGGACGGATGCGCCAAGTCCCATGGGCACGCTCAGGTCTGGCCGGCGTCGTTGGAACATCAGAGGGCGTGCATTTGAGCTGTAAATGTGACACTGTGGAGAGACACGGTCTTGGTTCACCTCATTTTATTGATTGATTAATTGAGTTGCCTAGGACGCTAGGCCTGCATGTTGCAGTCTGCACCTTGTCCTTCTAGTTTCCGTAGTAGCCGTTAATAGCCAGGGTGCAATCCTGCGAGTACCTGAATCGATCTCATCTCCGAACTGTCATTCCTTCCGTCGAAATAGAAAATAGAGCAGTATTGATATGAAAAATGAAATGAGGATGCTCGTGATGCAGCGACGGCTTCTCCAAGGTTTGTGCGTTGTGGAGCTGGAGCTGGTGTGGATTCTGCATTGCGGGCGTGTGCCGAGTGTCGGCTGTCGTGTCCGTATTCCGTACGGAGGACTCCGTACGTGAGTCAAGCCAGACGTGGTCAATTATAGCTAGGATGGTACATTGGTGATAGCAAGAATGATCACTGAATGCTGATGCTTCCAGAAGATGAATACTTGAGTATTATCTACCACATGATCTTGAGCTGGCGATACACCAACACCTGACGATATGGTGCCACCCCTAAAACAGCTCGTTTGCGTTACCAATTTGACGATTGGATCGCAATATCAATTTAATCTAGCTCTACTGCATGCCTTTTGTTTAGAATCGAATGCTTTCCTCAAAAATGAGACTGTAGTCACCGTCTAACCTGCCAGATCAGGTAAAGGGGGATTTCGCAATTCTTAGACACTAGGGACTTCGCTTAGCGTGCGATATCATCGCTTTTCAACGCTGATGGATGACTGGTCCCAACACTTCACACCAAATACATACGCATATTGCCTGTTTCTCTTGCTGCTACCTTCATCTGTCCTGCTGAACCACCTGCATCAATATGTGATGTCCATCGACCTATTCCATCGATTAAACCTGTTCCGCTCCGCTGACCGGTCCACTAGGTCGATTTACACCTCGAGGCGAATGACTCCGTACGCCAGCGGTCGAATCCGAAAAAGCTGTTGAGTCTCTGCCATTCTCATCGAACGATCCAGGGCCACGCTTAGCCTCCCACTCGTCATAGTCCTGCCCCGGGTTGACGGACTCGTATTTGAACATCCGGAGGAAGGTGTAAAATCCGCAAGCCAGCAGAGACCCGAGCAGTGGTCCAACCCAATAAATCCAGTGATAACCAGGGAAGCTTCGGTTGATCACGTCTGGGCCGAGTGAGCGCGCGGGATTCAGCGAGCCCCCGGTATAGTAGTCGCCTGTTGTCATTAGTCTCAGCAGCAAGGTGGATTTGGGACATCCATACCGATCATTTCCGTGACGAAGAAAGTGAGGCCGATACCGACCGGCGCGAGGAAAGTGGATTTGTGCTTCACGACGGCCAGCATGATGATGACGAACACCAGTTGCGCTGTGAGAAACATCTCGATAAACAGACCCTGAGAAATGGAGGCCCCTCCACCCAGTCGAGTTCCGACGTTGAGGTCACCCGGGAATAGAGCGCTGACGACGCCTGCGGCTGCGATGCCGGCTACAAGCTGTGCAGCGAAGACGAAGACGCCTCGAAGGGGCGGCATGCCTCCGACCAGGCATAGTGCCAAGGAGACCTGTTCTGTCAGAGTGGGTTGCAGTGTTGTATGGTTGGAGACTTACTACAGGGTTGAAGAGGCCTCCCGTCACCCGATAAAAGGCCCAAATGTTGACTGTCAAGGAGAAACCGAACGATAGGGCGGAATAAAGAAGGTTGGATGTGTTGGGAGGGGCACCGGCCACCGGCTTGGGTGTGTTGGAGACCTGCGTTCCTGCAAAAGAGAAGAACAGGAACAGGAATGTGCCGACAAACTCTCCCACCACGGCAATCAGGTTATTTCGAGCACTGTCCGCCAGACCCAGCATGGGAAGCTGACTCTGGCTGCGCCTGACGACACGCCGCTCGTCTCCATTACGTTTACCGAACAGCATTGTATCTTGCTTGATATGGAGGACAGAGACTGATTTCTAGGATGAGATGACACTGGCCGTGCGATCGATACTAATGTATCCGCGACTCGCATTCTCTTATATGCTCGGCAGGCCATATCCTAACTTTGATATGTCGATTACGACATGTACAATCATGACTATTTCGGCGTGTCCGTTGAGCTTGTCTTGGTGTTCTTACATTTACTCGCCAATCTTTGGGTCATGTCGGGAAAGTCGCCATTTCCGGCCATCTGGGGTACCATCAGAGATATTCCTAGCTATTATGGTCAATGAACACGAACGAGGATCCAGAAAGTCAGTAAAGTTTCAATGGTCGATCAGGGCCCAGACATCGGTTGGCTCAATCGATCGCGTACACCAGTTCGCACTTGGTAGTGGTCAACGCAGTTGACAGTTGGAAATTGCAGGAAATCTGTCAGTCATCATGTCATTAACTAGATGGATGATTGGTATATATTTGACTCCTGATGACCTTATCAGTATTCTTTCGTTGCAAATGATGACAGTCACTTCTGTGCTGCACATAGCATAAGCAGCATAACGGAGGCTGAGTAATTGTGCACATTATGCTTAATCAAGGTACGTAGTCTCGGGTACGGCGGACTATTTCCACGATGTGGACTTCAGTATTTAAGACTTCAAATTGCAGTAATTATTTGACCTAACATGATTAATCTTCTGAATAATGCAATGTCATGTATTCGAGATCTTCGAACCAAGTAGAAGGGGGAAAAGGAGGGGAAAGCGTCTGCTTCCGTCCGTGGGTGGGGAAAAGAGAACCTGGAGTTTGACTCGAGGATACGTTTTTACATCTAGAAGCATCACCTTCGGCTTCTACGGCTCTGTCTCTGAAACACCTTTTAAAACTGCCGCGTTCAAACGTTGGTTTATCTCAGGGTTGGGGGATCGTCAGGTACGGAGATGCCAACACAGTGTTGTAGCCAATGGCTTCTGCGGTGTATCGACTATCGAGATCATTTCGGAGCCGTCAGCCTGAGTGGGTCTTTCCACGAACTTGTCAGATTTCCGACTGTTCTCAATGCTTGGCCTGTAGCCTATAGGAGTTTAGCTACAATAACCAGAAGGCTACTATGCCACGCTAATCAGGCACGCGAACGCACTCTCATGGAATGGGTGGCTCTCGAGCAACGGAGACTCGTGCCCATTGAAATCCTTCCAATTCTTGCCAGCAAGGCAAAGTGATTTGGCAGAGTGACGCAGCGACACTTAGGGACCTGGGCCAAGGCTGCAGTGTGACCAGCCTGCATTAGAGTGGCCGTCGTGCTGGCAGCGTTCTGAAAGGTACGCATGAAAGTAACATTTTCCCCCTAGGACCTTATCACGAGGGATATTGTTCGATTAATTAGGAGACGCCAATTCGGTTCATCTAGACTCATGCCTGTCCTGCTGTTACTGGCTCTTGTTCGCTTTGATGAACCCACATGGACTACTGATTTCGAGCCCTTGATGGTATGCAGACCAGCAACATAGCCCGCGGCCAGGCAAAGATCATTTGAGAACAAACTGGCGTAGCTGTTAATCAGGCAGTGATCGCCATGGTGATGTCGGCTAGAACCAAGACATAAGAGTATGCTTAGTCTGTTCTTGCACCATCTCGAGGATCTTGCGTTGGGAGTTTACTTCCCCCTGCAGCTGCATTCCTGGGTCACTGAAACCCAGTAAATATGCGCCTCGCGGTTTCAGCCTTTCCGGCCGCCAGTCTAGGCGATTGACTGCAAGTTCGCAGGTTCACGTAAGACCTATTTATAGTCTCGATTCTCTTCCCCTTCTCGACATGCCATCACATACCAACTTGTTATTCATGGCTGACAATCATGCCATTCAAGCAGCATAATGGGAGGATCTACCGCATCACAAGACTCCTTGTTTTTCACCTTGTTTTCATAATAACTGCGTGCCCACGGCAAAGTTCTGCCGCTGCGGATGCATTCATCTTTCCCCCACAGAATGGTTACACCGGCGAATACATATCGAATCTGGCTTTCACGGTCGGGCAGTCGATCGACATCAAGTGGAAAAGCGGTTGCGACGAGTCCATTCAGTTCTGGTTGATGAAGGATTCCAATGGTGGCGACTGTCAGTTTCAGCGTGATGCGCTGTGTAGTCAAATCGCAGGTGAGACTGTTCCACACGGGACCTGGATCTCGGCCAGCTGCTGACATGGAGCAGATACTCCCAACAATGGCTCCATAGCATGGAATGTCAGTTTCATGGGGCTTGCAGGCCCCGGCGTCTACTACATATATGGGTTATGCAGCGACCCGGGCTCGACCCGTTTCAGCTGTCACTATTTCAATATTACGTCGAAGCAAGTTTCAAGCTCGACGACGGCCCCCAAAACCACGACCTCTATCCCGGCGTCAACGAAGCAGAGCAGTCTTCAAGACCCTACAACGTCGTTACCGACATCAGCTGCACTCGGGGTAGGGACGGCAAAGTCAACGACCCCAGTAGGTGCTATCGTCGGAGGGGTGATTGGGGGTCTTGCAATTATAGGATTGACGCTTATTGCTGGAACTGTACTACTGAGGAAAAGAGCATCATCTGATCCAGGTGGATCTATGCCCCAGACATGGAGGGGGAAGGCTGAGTTTCCAGAAGCAACACATTATGAGGGTCATGAGCTACCTTGTCCCGAGACAATTCCAGAAGCAACGAATCACGAGGACCATGAACAACAAAGCTCAGGAAGTCAGCGGCGTGCTCCGATTGAGTTACCGTCTTGACATGTCGAGACCTTGCTTCTCATGTATTCTATGGTAACTAGACACTGGGTTAGTATACATTGGTACATATAAGATGTTTGATAGCCATGACCTTGCTTCCTAGCTACCCAGGATATTGAAGACGCTAAGCTGGGTCTGGAAATAAAAGACGAGCACTATGGCACTTAGCGATCTTCGGCTTCCACAGCCATTTCAGAATACGTAGTTATTTTGTGCACGGGACTCGGGCCCGAGAAATAACCGGGTCTCCGATCCCGAAAAATCTTCGCGCCGGGATCTTGCTCGCAAGTGGCCTGACGTTAGGCTATTCGGTTTTAATTGTTAGGTAACGGCAGTTAATTGTGTGAGACCAATTAAAAACAAGGTAAATAGGTGAAACTTGAAGTATGGGGTGATGGATACGGAGTGGCATGGAAGTAGACCATCTGGAGTCTGGAGTCTGGACTCTGGAGAATGCCTGTGCAGTTGAGCAATACCGTGCAGGATTCACCTGCCGACTATTGGAATAGCATCTTGATATCGTTGATAAATCGAGAGCTCTTTGGCAGCTGGTAGGAAACCAATCGCTGGTGGAGTCTGTTTGCTTATTTATTCCTGCACGCTGATTCCTCTGTTCCTGATCCCAAGTTTGCATGTTTCTGACCTCATACCAAAGCCTCCGCGGAGATATCTTCGCCATCACTGCGGAACCAAACAACCAAAAGAAAATTTTCCATATGGCACGACTTAACGGGCTAACAAGTAGCGCTGTGTATAAATACTGCAGTCTTGGGCGTTGACCGCACACTTGATAATTCTAAGAAATATTCAGTTTCCAACTACTAAAACACTGATTCCCATCATCATGCCTCTAACACCGGAACAAGTTCAAATCATCAAGGCCACCGTGCCTGTGCTGACAGAGCATGGAACAACCATCACCACAGTGTTCTACAAGAACATGCTCACTGCCCATCCCGAGCTGAATAATGTCTTCAATACCGCTCACCAGGTTAGCGGCCACCAAGCTCGTGCTCTAGCCGGCGCTCTCTTCGCCTATGCCTCCAACATCGACAACCTGGTTGCTCTTGGACCCGCCGTCGAGCTCATCTGCCACAAACACGCCTCGCTGTACATCAAGCCGGACGACTACAAGATTGTCGGCAAATTCCTGCTTGAAGCAATGGGCCAGGTCCTCGGTGACGCCCTCACCCCGGAGATCCTCGATGCCTGGGCCACCGCCTACTGGCAACTGGCCGACCTCATGATCGGCCGCGAGGCCCAGCTTTACGAGGAAGCCGAGGGCTGGACCGACTTCCGCGATTTTGTCATCGCGCAAAAGGTCCCTGAATCTTCGGAAATCACCTCCTTCTACCTGAAGCCGGTGGACGGCAAGCCTCTACCTGCCTTCCGGCCGGGACAGTACATTTCCGTGCAGATCCACGTCCCCGAGCTCAACTACCTTCAGGCGCGCCAGTACTCTCTCAGCGACATGCCCCGGTCAGACTACTACCGCATCAGCGTGAAGAAGGAACCTGGACTGAACCCCGCCGAGCCCGGCGCAAAGGCGCACCCAGGCTACGTATCGAACATCCTGCACGCGTTTATCAACGAGGGCGATACCATCAAGGTCTCTCATCCGTACGGCGATTTTTTCCTGTCTGACGCGAAAGCCGCCAACCCCGTTGTCCTCATCTCTGCCGGTGTCGGTCTGACCCCCATGACTTCGATTCTCAACACCCTGACCTCGCAGTCTCCGGAGCGGAAGGTCAGCTTCATCCACGGCGCCAGAAACTCTCAGGCGCGTGCCTTCAAGAACCACATCACCTCTCTGGAACAGAAGCTGCCAAACCTCAAATCCACCTTTTTCACCAGCCATCCCACGGAGGAGGACAAGGAGGGCGATGACTACCAGTACCGCGGCCGTGTGGATCTGAGCAAGTTGGACAGCAACCGGGATTTGTTCCTGGATGATGCCACGACGGAGTACTACGTCTGCGGACCCGACACGTTCATGACTGACATGCTGAATGTTCTCAAGTCCAAGGGCGTGAGCGAGGACCGCGTGAAGCTGGAGCTGTTCGGAACTGGCGGTGTTCCTCATTGATTTCGTATTGATACTCATTGCATTGCATGTATATAGATAGATCATCCCTACTCACGAATTACGACTTAGATAACTTTCATCAATATCTAGATGTGTTCAACATATGTGACATCATCTGCAGCAGAATATTCAGCGGAATACATATTCCGCTACAACACCAATACAACAATATAAAAGCCATCTCACTCTATCTATCGAGACTACAATACAACTATATCAAAATGTCCCACCTAACCTACTACAACTACGACGGCGTCGGCAAAGCCAAACAATCCCAGTTCAAATACAGCCAAGCCGTCCGCGTCGGCGACCGCATCGAATGCGCCGGACAGGGTACCCCCTCCCCTTCCTCATTCTCCCCATACTCATCCTCATTACCAGTACTGATGGATAGAAAGGAGGCTGGAATCCCAGCACAGGAACCATCCCCCGCGAAATCAACGCGCAGATCGACCAAGCCTTCGCGAACGTGGACCTGAACCTACGGAACGCAGGCGGGGCGGGCTGGAGCCAGGTATACCGGGTGAACTCGTACCATGTGCCGATTAACGACGAGGCGCTGGAGGCGATGGTGCGGAATTTCCGCAAGTGGGCTCCGGGGCATGAGCCGATTTGGACGTGTGTGGGGGTGACGCGGTTGGGAGAGGATGATATGAGGGTTGAGATTGAGGTTGTGGCGCATGTGCCGTAGATATCCTAGTGATGGAATTGGAGAATGGTGCTGGTGGCCATATTGGTTGCGTGAAATAAGTGGTGATACTGGTACGAGATGGGACAGTCTTGATTAATAATGCGGAGTTTATTTGGACATTGAGAAATTGAGTCCCGCGGACAGTAATCTTCAATTGATAAGTATTGTCCAGTGAAAATGCCACCGGCTGAAAAGAAACAATCCCGAGGGAAATATACCACCAAAGCCTGCGAGGAGTGTCGTCGTCGGCGAGCAAAGGTACCTTATGCCATGCATTTAGCTCTTCTTTCTGACGTTCTGACGTTCTGACCTGCAACTGTGCAAGTGCGACGGAAAAAAACCATCCTGCTCCCGTTGTCTGCAATGGAGTATCTCCTGTCAATACTCCTCGAATGAGGACGGGAGACGGCCTGCATCCAAGTCCTACGTTGACTTGCTTCGTCAGCGCATACAATTCCTCGAGGACTTCCTGGCCAAACGCGGACTTGATCCAGACGCGGAAAAGTCACTTGGAGAGGACGCTGCAGAAGTTTCATATATGGAGGCTCTATGCGATCAATTCAAGGGACGTCTTGCGCTAGACGAATCTCTCAATTTCGACGCCGATGGCGAGATGCGGTTCTTTGGGCCGACGAGTGGCCGTCTCCAGTTCGCTGCTCAAGGTATCTCGCCAGAGAAAGATTCGAACGCACGCGTTGAAGCCGAGCCCCTTGCATCAACGGCATACGACGCTTTCGTTCCTACAGAGCTGGAAACCCACTTGATCGATCTGTACTTCGCCTGGGAGCAACCATGGTACCAGATTGTGGACGAGGAGCTCTTCCGCGAGAGCATGGCAAACAGAGGTCGCTATTTCACTCCCCTGCTTCTGTACAGCATTCTCGCCATGGGGTCACGGTACTCTGACCGCGTCGAAACCCGCACCGACGCAAACGATCCTAACACAGCTGGTCGATTCTTTCTCGAACAGGCCAAGACTTTACTGCATGGGGAAATGGAACGGCCGAGCCTGACGACTATCCAGGCATTAGGCCTTATCGGGATGTTTTACATTGTGAGTTCGCTATACTTACTAGATGAAGATTTACTCAAGCTATTCTGTAGGCCACAGGGGCTGATGCAGCCGGGTGGCTGCACCACGGCATGGCGAACAGGCTGAGTCTTGACATGGGACTCAATCTGGACCCGGCTGCCTTCGAGGGAGCCGTGAGTATGTCTCCCAAGGAAATGCAACTCCGACGACAGATCTACTGGACTCTATACTGTCACGACAAGCTCTCTGCGAGCTATACAGGGCGCGTCTGCTCCATGCTGGTTCGTCCTTCGTTCTGTTGAATACCACAGCCCATTAATACTTAGACCTAGGACGTCCAAGGAGCCGTCAACCTTCCCAGTCATGCAGAGCCATCATCTCCCCGACAGCAGGCCATTCTCTCCCTACAGATAGCCTTAATCCGCATCTGCCAAATCTACGAGAGGATCTTGATGTCCTTGTACGTCTCTTTCCACAACAAATCGACGAAACTGACAACAGCAGGTGGGCTCCTAAACCCAGCCTCAACCAACACCAACGACCCACCTTTCTCAAATCCTGTCTTCTGGACCTAAAAACCTGGCTCTACGATCTCCCTCCAGCGCTCCGGATCGACCAGCCAAATCCTCTTCCGCACGCATATACCTTGCACATGGTCTTCCACACTGCTAGGATTCTCCTGGCCAAACCATTCACAGTAAGGCATCAATCTGCGTCCAACGATGCAGATGCCAACGGAGGAGCACAAACACAAACGCAAGCACAGTCCGTCTCCACCGACTCCGCCCGCGCAATCTGCACCATAGCCCAGAAATACCGCCAGCACTTTGCGAGTTTCCATCTCAGCCCCATCACCGCGACGCATTGCACGCTCTCGGCAGCAACGGTGTTACTTGAGGATATCGCTGGCGAGGACATGCTTCCGTCGCAGAAGAGCCGGCTGGAAGTATGTGTGGGTGTCCTCGAGGAGTTGGCGGGCTTGTGGCAGCCCGCACGACGTATCGGGACCAATCTGCGGCGGTTGCTGAGGACGAGGTATAACCTGACACTCCCGGGGAGCAGTACAGAGGGCCAGCTGCAGGCGACCGGGGATGGTCTATTAGCTCCGTCTACGGGGTTTGATTTTGTGGATGAGTGGAACACAGAGTTTCTGCCTCAGTATGCAGAAGGACTGCCGGCGGCTCTGAGTTTGCCTCCCGCTTTGGACTCGCTACCGGTTGATTACGGGTTGTTTGATCTGTTGAATCGGATAAATATGGATAGGATGTGGTAGCCAGGGTCGATTCGTCTCTTGGATCAATCGCAGTGTGTCAGGTACATAATCATAATCTGTATATAAATGATCCGGTATGTTGGCGACGTGCATGACCAGTGCATCTATATCCCATGACAGTCATACCATCCTTAATCTGGATCATGCTTTTGAAGCTCACGGAAACCTTAGAAAAGCGCTGAATACGAGCGTGCTATGGTGTCCTACAACGTCGCCAAGCTTCCTCGCCCCCCAACCGTGAACCCATGACTCATAAGAGAACGGGCGAATGCTCATAACAACGGAAGATATCCTTACAACGAAGTCTCCTCGTATCCACCCCGTTGCCATGCCAAAGCAAAAGCCCAAACAAAAGAACCCCAGACCACCATCCGCCCCACCCCAGGATGGATGCGAATGCAGCTGCGGCTGCTTATGCCACGCGCCGCCATCAACAGGGATGCCGATCCACGTCCTGTCAGACGTCTGTCATCGCAAAGGATGGGATGAACCGGAGTATTCAATGGTACACTACACCCCCTAACAAATACGATCAAACCAAATCAACCAATCCTCGCTGACAAGGACCAAGACACAAACTGCAAATGGCTACCTAGCCACCGTATCCATGCGAAGCACATTACCCAGCGGCGAAAGCATCGTACTCCCCTTCGCGGCGCCGGATAGTCTCCGCGCTGCGTTCACCGATACAGAGGAGGAGATTGCGAAGAATAATATAGCGGTGTATGTCCTCTTCTGTATAGGTGAGCATAACTCAGACTTGCCGCGGGGATGGCGCGGTTTGTGGAAGAGGGAGTTTGAGAGGATCAAGGCGGTTGATGTTAAGGAGGGGAGGGGGTGGATGTATTCGGGGGATTTGTTTGGGGGGTATAAGAGGTGGCAGGATTCGCTCTACGAGGCTTAGTGACTGTTGGTCTACGAGATATGTAAGAGGTTGAATTCTGTAGAGTGAAAGAGCCCCAGCCACCACCATCAATAACAGCCACAGCCACTTCCACTATAGGACAAGGCTCTCGTCGATGGAGCGCTGCCGCAGACGCGATAGCAGACCATGCATTAGAGTAGTTCCTCCACACAAACTGCGAGCCGTTCGTGAACTGAAATCTCGGCTTCAATGGATCCGAGGTATTCAAAGCGATGGGGATATAGTTGCCGTTGTTGCTTGGTTTCCAGCCAGGTCTGTTGTCGTCCACGCGGGAGCAAGAAAAAGAGAATGTCACTGTCCCAAGGGGCCCAGCCAGTGAGAACAGGGCCTTGGCGGTGGTGTTGGTGAAGTTGACGGCATTTGTGAATGGCGTTGTGGAATTCCTAACCAGTACGATAAGTGGACTCGCTAGGAGCAAAAGGGGAATATGTACCACTGGAATTTTAGCTCGTCCGCACAGCCATGATGCCAGGTATAGTTATCCGGTCGTTGAAAGTCAAAGGGATTAAAGGGCGTTCCATTGCCGCGAAAGGTTGACTGGTCTCCTGCAATGCTGTATCCTTTCCCTGCGTGTCCCAGTCATACTCGACCAGCGTCGCTTTATCAAATCAAGGATAACTTGTGGAACGAAATGATAGTTATAATCATAGTCGCATAGCTCCCCGGCCTGATTGAAACACAGGTAATTTGCTGTACTGAAGAACAGGCTAAAGATTGCGTCGCCCGTACAATAGGAGCAGCGGGAAGAATCCAGCAGTTTGCCCTCGTGTGAAATATCAAGTACAAGGGGTTGGTATCCCACGGTGGATTCGCGCTGACAGCGAGGAATGAGTTTTTGAGGGAGTCAAAGTAGTAAGTGGGACATTCTGAAGGTGCAGATGCTGGGTGTTGGAATTGGCCGGCAATACTGCCGCTGTAGAAGATGAACTGGGTGCCCGCCTGGTTGAGATTGCAAAGTGAAAAGGGGAGTAGGGTTAACAGAGGCAGAAGATTCCATCGAATACTCATGTTGGTGAGATGTACTCCTGTATTCTTTGCAAATGTACACTAACTTGAAAGCCGAGCTTACTATCTCAAGTGCCGACACCTTGATATCAGAAAATATGGGGTACATAAGCATCAAAGCCTAGTCTCGTCTATGGGATAGTGTCTGGGCAAGTGCTTGATGTGTATAACACCTACCGAGAATGAGCCGGTAATAGGATAGTTCTCATCTACGGCCACAGCCGAGCTCTGGCAATTTATGCTTTGACACTTTGTCCTACACCACAGATCGCCTGATAGTCTCCCAACTATTGCAGATCGGATTCTGCAAATCGCTGCGCCCTTGTTCATGTGTCACTAGGCCAGCTTGCCTCTCCTTGGTGAACAGCTTAGTGAGGCTCTTTGCCTAAGCATACAGTATGGTCTCTGAGGCAACCTCGGACTTTATCATCGTTGGCGGTCAGTCTTGATACCTCTGTTTGGCTGTAGGGATATCGTAGATCATGATTTGATTAAAAGTGTATAGGGAATCATAACGCTAAATTCAACCAGTTAAGATGCTATTAATTAATTCTGCTTATCAGCAGCCATGGCCTCGATATCCAGTGAACGAGGCGTTGTCGTGCCTGACTTGTGCATCCCAGTGAGAGTGACCATCTCTCCGCTCAAGAGGTACATGTACCAGTAGTATGTAGCTGGTTCGGTTAGCCACTGTCCCTCAACTCGCAAGGGGTGCACCTACCGACAAACAATCCTCCTCCAATGATATTCCCCAGCAGCGTTGGAATGATCCCCTTCCAGATGTACAGCCCTACCGTGATCTTGGGCGCACCCAGCCAGATCGCCATCGGGATGAAGGTCATATTGGCGACGACGTGGTCAAAGCCTAGCGAGACGAAGGCAAAGGTCGGGAACCAGATACCTACAACCTTGGAGGAGAGATCGCGGCCCTGTACACCAAGGAAGCAAGCCAGACAGACAAGCCAGTTGCAGCCTATACCGCGGAGGAAAATATGATGGAAGTCCGGGGTGAGTTGTTTCTTAGTGGCAAAGGCGATGACCTCAGACTTGTAGGGGTCGGCAGCAAAGACGTTGCCATCTTGAGCAAGATGTCAGACCTGGATAAAAGTCAAGGGATTGAGATGCTTACAGCCAAAGATGATGGCGACAACGAAGAGAGATCCAGCCAGGTTGCCCCAGAAGGTCACGAACCAGTGGAGCAGCATCTTGTACCAGGGCAGTTTGCGTTGGAGTGCGGCAATAGTGGTGAACTACACAGGGTAAGTATATTCACAGAGTAGCAGTCTGGAACAGCATACCATGAAAGATCCAGTGCAGAGGTCCGCTCCCGTTAAGATGATCAAACACAACCCATAAGGAAAGACGAGGGCGGATATTGTGCGAATCAAGCCGGGCGCATTTTCTTGAAACCATGCAGTTGTATTGGTACTCAGGGCCGTTCCACAGGCAAAGGCAAGCAGACAGCCAGCAGAGAAGGCACTGAAGAAGACCTTATCAAGGCGCATGTTGCCCTTGCTCACTCCGGCATTGGCCACAAACTGGGCGACATCGGCCGGAGCATGGGAATCAATGCTGACAGTCGTCATGATGGTAAGTAGCCTTGTGTTGGCCGCTTCTGGTCCACAGCTAGCTTAGATTTCTAGTTTGTTTGAGGATGAAAGGTATGAGGAGAGGGGTGACTGATATATCTTAAGGTATATTGGCTACACGGCCCCGGAATCAGCCAGACGCCATGGCTCAACGCCCTGTTTCCTTATCTCAGATCCGCACCGGGATATAGGGCCTGGAAGTGAATTATCTGGTGTCCTAATCTGTACGTACAGAGATGACAGTAGGCCTAAGCGAACAAAATAAAGTTCCTCCACCTCACGCACCTACCGATCAGCCTTGATCCCCTCTATCCGCAATTTAAGATTTCTCGGAAAATCGTGGAATATAGCCAGCCCTCGCTGACCGGATACCGCATCATTTCGCCATGGGATGATAAGAAGATCTACGGAGCAGTGTTATGCCCACCGCACCAATGGTCTTGCTCTCTTATCTCCTGAGAAGAGATAAGAGAAACTCCAGTTGTTTGTGTTTCTCCGCGGACTCAAAAAGTGGTCATGATAACGGAGGAGCTGATAAGGGAGTGATAAACCGGACAACTAAAGTTTTAAAGGAACTATTCCTTATGATAAAGGAATATTTATAGATACTGAAACCTTTTATGAGTTGAGCCCCTTCAATGAATTTCGGCCAATCTTGACTCGACCCCGTCCCGGATCTGCGGTCGACCTTATCTATATCTATATAAGCTATTGGCTTTACTCCTGTTGGGCCATTTCTCAAAATTGAGTTCTCTTATAGATACCCACAACGTTCTTTCATTTGGCTGTCAATGTTTAAAAATTACTACCTCGATAGTAGGCACCCGGATGACCCAGACGCACAGAAGGACCAAGAAGCTTATTTGAGAAAAGACTTGGCTAGTACAATGCCACGATGCGCATATCATACACCATTGCTGGCAACAACTTCTGTTTGCCATTAGACTAAGCATAACCCGACGACGATCCAAAGCTTAGAACGTTACCGTCCGGGCTGCCTATGTACAGCTTGTCCCTCCCGCTTCCCGTCTCGGTGTCCATTCCTGCGCCTTCAAAGGGATATGGTTTTGTACCTTCCCACCAAGAGTCTCCGCGAGTCGCCTGAAACAGACATACCTCGTCACCGAAACGGGCTTTGTCTACCCATCTGGGGGAGGCGTGCTGGCTCCGTGGTTGCTTGGACAGCAGGACTGGTTGGCAGGCATTCTTGGGAGCTTTCACCCCGGTGGTGCTGCAGCAATCCTCGCGACCATGGCAGTCTGCTCGGTCTGCGAGCAGCATGCTTTATTCACATCCTTGATTGCTCTCGGCGACGTGGACGCGTGGCTACATTCGTAGGAGGCAGCAGTAGATCCACAAGGCAATGCTGGAGCAGCTGAAGGGACGGCCTTTCGGTCAGGACGATTCTCACCAGACCGAGAGAAAGCAAAACTAATGGACTCTGATTGTGAGGTTCACTCCTGGAGACACAAAGATGGGGTCGAAGACGGAACTGATGCTTGAACGAGAGAACGAGACGACGGAAGAAGACGGAAAGACGCGGGGAACTTCAATTGATTGGCCAAGAGTCCAAGTCTCACATGGCCTGGGGAGATCTATCTGGACAGATATTAAGATCAGGATTCTTCCACATTGTGATACCTATTGTTAATGATCGACATGCGGCTCTCTTCTGTAGGGTCGCATCCCTTCCGACAGACAATGCTAATCCTCATGTTGGATACGAGGAGTGGGGGTTAGTTCTGAATACGGAGTATGTCCCTCTCGTTTCCGACTCAACACGCCCAAGTCAGGTTGATCATGTTAGAGCACTGCTGATCAAAGGTACAAGGCGGGTTACATGAACACGAAGAATGGAGCTGAGAATGAGCCCTGTTATGTCGATCCTCGTGTTCGCGTATCCGCAATAGGAACAACTCGTATCCAGCTAAACATAGCTCTGCCAAGGAAGGAATCATTTCAACTCGCATCCATGCTGAGACTATATAAGGGGTGATGGAGACTGTAATAGTCAAGTATAATGGTCAAACAACACACCATGAAGTCCATCTTCGCCCTTACCAGTCTCCTCTCTCTCTTCCTCTCTACCAGTGCAGCAGACCCCCGTCTCTGCGCCAAAGGCAATGACCCTCTCCCGGCTTCAGCCTTTACCCTCCAACAAACCAAGGACAACACCCATCTAGCCTCACTCTCTCATATATTCTCCTCGGCCGGCAAAAATGTCAGCATCCCTCACGTGCTTGACTCTGCCAACCGTGACCTCGCCAAGGGGAAGCCTCCTGTCGGGACGAGCCCCGTCGAAGCCTGGAAATGGAACTCCGGCGACATGGCAACTAAGAAATGGGTGCCGCAGGGGATCACCGGTTCCGCTGATGCCTCAGCCTCGGGCAAATGGGACGGCCGCGACATGTGGCTTGTCAGCTGGCACCGCGACGATGATAAAAGCGTGCGCGTGAGCTTTGTCGACCGCAAGACGCACAAGTACCGCCATGTGCTACTGGTGGAGCCCACTGCGGACGATAACTTTGCTGCCGTGCCAGTGCATGCAGGTGGCATTGCGTGGTACGGAGAGTGGTTGTATGTGGTGGATACGTCGCATGGGATCCGAGTGTTTGATCTAGGTCAGATCTGGCAGGTTGAGGAGGGCGACGATGTTGGAAAGAAGGGTGGAAAGTACTCTGCGGCGGGATACCTCTATGTTCTTCCTCAGGTTCGGTATGTTGATTTTCTGCGATGGCTGGATGATTGTTATTGACGCCGACAGCTCCTACAAATGGACACCCGGATCCTCGTCTCCCTTCCGCTTCTCTTGGGTCTCTGTCGATCGCAGTGACAACACGCTGTTGGTCGGCGAGTTCATCCGCGACTCATCCAAAGACCCCATCCGTCTGGTGAAGTACCCGCTTGACACCAACAGTGGCAAGCTCAAGACCAACGACAAGAGCATCGTCACCGCCACATTTGCGCACTGCGCCGACTTTTTGCGCATGCAGGGCGGCTTCTCCTACGATAACACATTCTACCTCTCACGCAGCAATGGACGGTCACCCAAAGCCGGGGATATGTTCAAGTGGAAGCCTGGAAAACCAGCGGAATTGCGTAATGGATGGTTCATGGCGGGGAATGAGGATTTGAGCTATAACAAGGTGCGCAAGGAGTATTATACTGTGAGCGAGTATGATGGGGAGCGATTCATTCTGGCTTATAACAAGATGTAGCCGCTGTTTGTATAATTGTATTACTATCGTCGGTTTCCTGAATGTGGACGTGGTGATCGACAGTGGAGCATCGCGATTTGTAATCCGACGGAACTGACAGCATCAAGACATCAGCATCAGAATCAGCATCAGACATCAGCATTTGCACCAATGTATATTAGAAATTATCTCCAGACATAATCCAGGCCGTGTTCTTGACTACATACAAGTAGCAATTATTCAATTCATATACAACTGAGATATCGACCACACCATTTCATCATAGCCACCAACACAAACGCAACAAATGAGCCAGAAAATCGGCGTCTTCCCAGCCTCCGGAGGCCTAGGAACAAGCATCATCAACCACCTCATCAAGCTCGTCCCCGCCTCACAACTCATCCTCATCGCCCGCAACCCCGAAAAGCTAGCCTCGCTCTCCCGCGAGGGCGCAACAATCCGCCGAGCAGACTACGATGACCGCGCAACACTCGAGCGCGTCTTCGACGACGTCGGCGTCCTGATGCTAATCTCCTACGCCTCGTTTGAGATCCAACACCGAGTAGAGGTACTCCCCTGAATCCTAAACCCCTAAACCCTTTTGCCAAACTAACGCAAACAACCAGGCCCACAAAGCCGCCATCGACGCCGCCCGCCGCAGCGGCGTCAAACACATCTTCTACTCCTCCCTCGCCTTCGCCGGCGACCTGGGCGAGTCCAGCCTCGCGCACGTCATGGGCGCCCACCTCGCAACGGAAAAGTACCTCGCCGAACTCCCCGGCCACTTCACCTACACCGCCGTCCGCGAGGGCCTCTACTCCGAGTCCTTCCCGATCTACACCGCGTGGTTCGACCTGCACAATCCCGTCGAGGAGATCACGATCCCGCACCCGGGGACGGGGCCGGGGGTGGCGTGGGCGAAACGCGACGAGCTGGGCGAGGCCACGGCCAAGATGGTGTATGCGTATGCGAAGAACCCGGCTGGCTTCCCGTATCTGAATCGGGTGGTGCTGCTTTCGGGGCCGAGGGAGGTGAGTCTGGCTGAGACGGCGGAGGTGCTGGGGCGGGCGGTTGGGAAGCCTGTGCGGATCCGGGAGATCACGGTGGAGGAGTATGTGGCGTTGCCGCAGATTGGGGAGAAGCATACGTACCACGGGGTGAATCTGTCGAGGGAGTGGGCGACGGCGTGGGAGGCGATCCGGGCGGGGGAGACGGCGGTTGTGTCGCCTGTTCTGGGGGAGATTCTGGGGAGGGAGCCGGAGGATTTTGAGACTACGATTCGAGGGTTGGTTGGGGGGAGGTAGTGACCTGCAAGGATCGGTAGATTCCCTGGTTATTGGACTTCTCCAGGAATATGGTTACCAAACGGTTATGCTTGGGTCAATATCACATTCGCTCATCTTCGTTCATAGGGCTGGGGGAGGTAAAACACTAGAAATCATCGCATACAGCCGATATCTTTGTACTCTCTCTTCTCTAACTCCAGCACATACGACCATAGGCTTCCCGCCCGCTCAGCCGCAGCCTCCAGATGTATATCTTGTTCTTATGGGGTCCCTGAGCAGTATTTTCGATATTGTCGCGTACGTCGAATACTTCAACTGATGTTCAGGACCCGTTGAGGATTCTGGGGATCACATTGGAGGGAGGGAAGGAGATTAGCTTGAAATCGCGGATCAGGATCCAAGATAGGTTAGAAGTGATATCTTCGAGTACTGGGTTGCTATTAAATGATACTGTTGTAGAGAGGAGCTAAACATTGCATTTATAATCCTGTTTCTATACCGGATGGTACGGACGGCATAAATTGCTATCCAGACTCGGTACCACAGAGATATTTAGCTGACAGAATCCCATATTTCTGAACCGAATCTCAAATTCTTACCCATTATTCAATACCATATCTTATCTTTTCCTGTTTAGTCGCAATTCTAGCTCGTTGTCTATCCTTTTCTTGCCTACGCTGACAGTAGTACCCTTACATTATATTCGGGGCTATCCGATATCCAATGCGGTCATCAACGCGTCAAGCGTCAAGGTTACGAGGCCAGGGATATGACTCGTCCGCTACGGATTGGGATCGTCTTATTCCCTCTCGCCTTTACAAAGGTGTAACGTCTCCATGGAGTTCTACAATTACCAAGTCAAGAGGGATCCGAACCGCGCAGCTCAACGGCTCGATCGTCAGACAAACCTGGGCTGACCCGTCTCTTGTTTAGTTCGGATGGTCGATGGTGTTCACAAAAAGCTTACTATGAGTCAGGTGAAGTTATCTAAAATATTAAAGCAGACTTCAGTCAATGTGCTAAGACGGTATATGAAGTGTGTGGATATAGGATGAGATAATTCCAGCCCTTAACTGGGCTCAGCCAAATTCAGGTAGAAGCCAGGACGATAGACTGGCGACCCAGTCTACGGTCTGATGTCGTGTTTCCTTGACATGTTTGAGGTATTTCTCTCTGTGTGTAAACCCCACCCAACATTGCAAAGGAATCTCAATTTTGACGTAGCATATGGGGACATATGTGTTCCACAGCACTATCAAGCAGCATGTCAGGGGTCTGCCAAAACAACTCCACAACCTTAGCGATCTCCTCGGACAGGAACGCGGCTTGCTTTTCCGTCAAGACGCCGCTGTTGGCACAGATCTGGATCTCCAGCCGATCTGAATGGGGCTCCGAGAACACCCATACCTCTTTGAGTGGATCGAAGTTCGCGAAGAGCGAGTACTGGACGTCCGCCATGCCTTCCAGCGGCAAGGTCTGTTTGAGTTGGATGCTTTGATGCTGGACGATGAACGTCAGTTCGGAACCCGCGGCCCAGTCGGTGCATTCGTGGATGATCTCCGGGAGCGGCATGTAATCGTAAGGAACGGACCGCATGTGTTGTTGGTATACATGAGCAAGAAGATCTTGCACCGTCCACTCCGGCTGGAGGGCTACCCGCATCGGAATGAAGTTGAGACATGGCCCTAGGATTGTGTCCACATTGTCAAGGGCCATGTTTCGCCCGTTGACTGTTTGCCCAAACACGATGTCCGCTTGGGCAAGGAGCCGAGTGAGATAGAAAGCAGCCGCTGCCTTGATCAGAGTGGCCATGGTAAAGCCGGCGGGAAGTTCGGGCGGTTGGATGCTGGTGACTGCCATCACGGTCGTGGTGGCTTGGCCGGTGCCGCGGGTGTGGGCCAATGAAAAAGGGGAGACAAGGGAAGACCCGGAAAGATATTCTCTCCAAAACCGATATGGAGCAGCCCTATCCAGTGTTGCGCAGCGGTGAAGATACAGAGCGAAGTCCGATGTTGGCGGCAACGAGGTATTGTTATAGGCGGCGGCTAGGTCCTGGAAGAGATATGGGATTGATATTCCGTCCCACTGGGCGTGCGACAGCTGGAGGGCAAAGACATGATCGACCGGAGAGTTTGAGAACAAGGTCCACGATACAGCAAGCCCATCCCGGATGTCGAACTGTGCCATCTCGGTTTCCCATTGTGATCGACATTGGGCCAGCGGGTCTCTCTTCGCCTGGCGGTGACGGAAGGGGGCCTGGATGTTGCCCAGAACCGCCTGAATAAGCCGACCTTCGTGCTCCCAGAACACAGTGCGCAAAATGCTATACCTGACCATCATGGCGTCACATGCTCGACGCAGTCGATCGACGTCGATGCGGCCTTTGAGGGCAAAGTGGTACGAATGGAATGTTTTCCGATCAATGAAAACCTGTTGAGTCGGCGTTGCTGGCAGTAAGTCGAGCAAAACCGCGTCCAACAGACCTGGGTACTGCGTCTGATGTTTTTTTAAACGATTGCTCGAGACTCGGAGTGACACTTAATAGAGAAAATGGGTGGTAAGGCTGCTCATCTGCGGATACCGATGAAGCCGCAACGCTCGCGAGGTCCGCAAGCACTGGGTGCGAGAAGATATCACCGACACTGACGGCAAAGCCGGTGGATCGACTCATCGCTGCCAATTTCATGGCATCGATGGAGTCTCCGCCGCAATGGAAGAAATTGTCATGGACGCTCAGCATGTCCGGTTTGAGGCTAAGCACCTGGGCGCAAAGCCGCAGCAACACCTTCTCGGGCTCAGACAAGTCATCCTGATTTAATGACGAGGAAACAGACGGTCGATATGGCACTAGCTCGTCGGGTCGCAAGGCTTCCAGCCGCGCCCGGAGACGGTTGCGGTCGACCTTTCCAGATGCCGTCCGAGGGATCTCAACAAGAGGCAAAATGATGGATGGAACCATTGAGGGGGGGAGGGCCTGCCGGAGGGCAATCGTAGCGGCTGCTGCACGGGCGCGAAACTCCTCGGATGGATTCTGCAAAAGACTGTTGACCCCGTCCTTTTTGTCGTCTGCCCGCCGAGTACTGACCACCGAAGCCACCAGCTGAGCTCTTCTCGAGCCTCCACCCGCCATGACCGCCAGCTCGACCACGGCGTCCAGGACCCCTTTGAAGCACTGGCGGACCTGGGCCTCCACGTGGGCAAGTTCGATGCGTTGCCCCCGCAGCTTGACCTGTTTATCCTTACGTCCGAGGTACTGGAAGGAGCCGTCTTTCCTGAGCCGGACGAGGTCACCGGTCTTGTAAAGCCTGCTGGAATGAGGCGGACGCAGGGGCTGGAGCCACTTCGGAGGGGCAATGAATGCCTCAGCCGTCCTGCGGGGGTTATTGAGGTATCCGCGTCCCACAAGCGGCCCTTCAATGAGTAACTCCCCAGTTCCTCCCACTGGAAGCAGCACATCATGGTTACCCGGGTCGACCACCCAGCAGACACAGCCCTGCGCGACTCCGATATCATGCGGGTCGGTGTCTACGTCCATACCGGACTGGATGACGGATACCACGGAGCATTCGGCGGGGCCATAGCCGTTGATCAGGCGGACTGATCTGGCCCAATACTCCACGTCAGTTCGAGTCATGGTCTCTCCCACTAGGGTGAGGGTTTTGAGGCCTGCCAGTTCCTCGCGCGAAAGTCGGCGTGCGAGTGACGGTACCATGATGGTATAATTGATCTGCAGCTCATGTATGACGCCAGCCAGGTCATTCAAGCGCTGTGTTTCTGATGGAATGCAGATACAAGCGCCGGCCATCAGCGCACTGATATGCTCCTGAACACTAGGATCGAAGGCATAAGAGGAGAATTGTAGGATTCGTGTCATCATGTATACTTGGTGGCAAATGTTGTTCAACTATTTGCTGCCTTCACTAATCAAGGAGTGATAACCATTTCAGGTAAGGATGGACTAAGTACAGCACCATGGCATGTACAGTATCAAGTAGTTCTTGATCCACCTTTTGACCTCCATTTCCCTCTGTTTCACCAGTGACATCATGTCTAGTTCTACCAGCTCCAACCTCAGAGTGCCATTGCAAAACAATCCCAACACCGCTCCAAAAACAGATTCAATTCCTATCTTTAGTCTCTTACAGCATTGAAAGTTTGAAACACCGTTAGAAGCCCTGTGGTCCCCGACATGAGATAGGGAGCTTGGCTGGGGTGTGTTTCTCGGCCCCGTCCAGTTCGGGGAGGAGAGGCATGTTAACGTGGACATTGTCTGTAGCTGAGGGTAGATGACAGTGTCATGGAAGGAAAAGGTAAGCATCTCCAATTATGGCCACTCAGTAACACTAACACAGCTTGTGTGCAAGGGGCTGTCCAGCAGAGCTCAGATGAACTTGTGATTTGGAACAAATGTAGGGGGAGCGCTCGGGCCTCGCTGACAGCAAGCAGTTCATGTCTGCCATGTAGCCGGCAAGGATGGCAACCATGCTACCCTGGTGCGACTCCTGGGAGAGAAAGTGAATCAGCTCGTCCACGAAGTCGGCTGCGTACTGGCCGTATATAAGACGATATAGCACTCGACCCACGATTCTCAATCAAAATCCGGGTTAAAGCTTGACATCTCAAGGTCTGCATTGATGTCCAGGCATCCAATGCCAGCCAAGACTGTCTTATTTCAAAGTTGACTTTTGCTGCTGCTAATAGATTGTCCACCTCGCCGGCGTTGGTAAAATTGGGGCGCATCAATGGTCGGGAGGTCGCGGGCAACACCGAGAGCCTGACCAGTGCAGATCAGATACTGTTCATCCATCTTCTCCACGAGAACTTGCTCCAGGTGACTAGTCTTGAAGTTCTCAAAGCGGAACCGGCGCTCAGTAGGAAAACACCGAGCATGGCCAGGGTTGGCGTTGTGGAATCAGTTCTGTCTTTTCCTCGTAACCCACCAACACATTGCATCTGTCTTCACCGGGATGGCCTTGGACCATGGAGACGATTGGTGTCGATCACGCCCGTCTTGAACCTGTCCTGCTATTTCTCCGATCACCGGCGCCTAAGCATATACGCCTCATGGATCACAAGGGTCTTGCCAACCGTGGCGTCAAGAATCTTTTTCGTCTTCGCCTCAGACTTGCAAAGACATTACCGATAAAGTCGGCGGGGGTCTTCAAGACAACTGCAGAGAACTTGATTAGCTTTACTCGGAAAGATCGTGACAAGCGGTTATCTCACCATCTCCGCGACTAAGGTATCCCAAGTGGCCAAAATGCGTCCATACAGCTTCCCAACGGTGGTCTTTCCGGTCCCTGGCGAGACACAAAGAGCTGGTTTAGGGTAACCTTGAGAGGGCTCAACTCACGGGGCTCGCGGCGATAGTTGAGTCCAAGCGTTCGGACCACGCTTCCCACGCGTTCCTTGACTTGTTCGAGCCCTATGAGCTTCTGCAAGTCACCCCAAGCATCACTTTGTGTGGCGGCTGATGACCGCGATCAGGACCGATCAAGTCCTCCTTGGTGAATAGGAAGTAAACCGGCTTCTTTCCACCGTATCGCCTCTCCAGATCCAGGCGTCGCGCCTGGCGCCGTTAGATCAAATCGAGCAGATTTTACACTACTCGTGCATTGCCGAGCTCCTGTTCCCGCGTCTCTGGGCTAAGCGACGGAAGGCGAGTACTCTTCACTTCACCATGGCATTGCGTAACGATCTCCAACAGACACGAAAGACCGGGCGAGCTTGTTTCTCTGTTGAGGATATGCGTCTTCTGTCAAAGGCTGCCTGGTCGCTAAAAGAAGTTCTCGAGCCATGCTGCACGACTTCCTATGGTCAAAAGGACGGCCCAAGATCTGGTGTGGGCCTTTCTTACTGTCCTAAGTTATCCCAGGATATTCGCAGCGCACTCGTCACAGCCGATGCATCGTGATTCCTGACCGCCAAGCCACCAGCAGACGGAGTCCTCGATTGCTCCGACATTCTCGGAACCGGGGGTGACGCAGAGCAAAACAACGGTAATACACGATTGATGCCAATTGCCAACTTTACTCAGGTCTTGGCGGCTTTATTCATTGTTTTCGTCACGTATTTCTGTATTGATAAGGAATAGATCGCGGACGTGACTGTGTATGAGGCGACTGAACCCCAAAGCGTTCTGATGTGCTAGTTAGCTTGAAATGTTTAGGTGCTATAAGAAGATCCTTAGGAATCCGCATGCCTGGAATATTGAGAGTGCTCCTTAGCAGCAAGCAAGTCGGATGGTACCATCTCGGAGGCGAAATTATCTGTGGCCGGCATGGCTTCAACTGATGGTTGGGTTGGTCACGGATGTAAGGAGAAGTTGAAGTTGTTGTGTTGGCACTAGTGAGACAGGATATGTCATCAGGTTTAGAGATGTATTCTTCAGACATCACTACCTTACTAAACTAGAGCATTACTCAGTATGACATGCACAAGCCGAAGTGATGCTGAAGCCTGAAGGAGCCAAATAACCGATAGGGCTGAGCAGTGCATGTGAGCCAGCCTGAATCCTAGCCACCAGGGCAGACATACATATCCAAGGTAGATTCTTCCCGCTTCTACTATCCGGACATGTTCCTCAAGATGAGGCAAGGTCACACGCCAACTCACAAATTTCTCGGACGAGATACTCGGAATCAAGACAGAAAGATCACCTTACTGTACTGTATACCGTTCCGACGCATCACTTCTAGGTAGGATGAATCATGCAGGTGTATCACACGCCCACGGAATCCGATATCCACGACCCTGATCGGACCCACGGGCTCAACCTTAACAGCCACGACACAGGTAACTTCACGCCGCTGACGCGCCAGGAACGGGATGGGTCCTCGCAATCAGAGATCCGGGATCACACCACTGAGTGGCATGCAGAGAGACCCTTGAGGCCCGGCATCCGTGCCGGCTCGGTGACTGGGCCGTGGATCATTTGTCTGGTTGACACTACGGTCACACTACGGCAGTGTACCAAGTCCTGTCGGCGGATACACCCGAGAATATTTTGAGAACTAGGGCAATTGAGGTGGTAATAGGAATTGCGTGAGTGCTTATTGGTTGCTTCGTAGATCCGTCGTCAACGGCGTCGTTGGCTATCTGGGGTACCGAACCCACTAGGGACGGGTATCTACCGAAAGATAACTAGACATAGTACAGTGCAGAGTGAAGAAATGTGCAGAATGCAAAATTATTGGAGCGACAGACGTGACAATTCGCCGGACTAGGAGGATTCGAGGGCTCTCGAGACATGTGTTTATATTTTATTGTTTCCATGCTACATTAGATAGACGCCTATACCTTCTGTATAAGACAGCATCCGTGTCTGCCCTCGAAATGCATCGAGATCTCGCACAGCTTCTGTCTATCTGTCCAGAGAGTGGGTACCTACCTGTCAGATTGAGGGTGCTCAAGAAACAAGGCATTGGACGGGATAAAGTCAATGCCGCCACCTGGATCAAGGCAATAGAAAGAATAGGGCGACGACATTGGCTGAATACTTGAGTACCTCGAGGCAGCTGTTTCAAACGGAACCTTGTACGTATTGCAATAACTGTATTGTATTGCTGCTTGAATGGCAAAAGGAATTATACCTGTATTCTGCAGACAAACCGGCCGTAGAGTCGGAGCCGAGAGAATCGCTGGTAACGAGTTTCGGCCGAAGCATCTTGGCGTTAGCCCTATTCGAGGTTAGTACGGTAACGCCCTGAGGCACTAAGGCACTAGATCCTCCGTTTTCTCCCTTGGTCCAACGGTCGTGGTGCAGCTTCTCGTCCACTCATTGTCGCCCGTTGAATATTTTGCATCCACTATGCGGTTAGCATCGTTCAGCCACTGTGGTACTTTCGATCTCTGACATCTGGACCGGTCATCTCTGACGTCGGTGTCTTTTTGTGTTGTTTATGCAGGAAGATGGTCCTGGTTTCAACGGTCCTCATCGGAGCCCACCGATGCTGGAATTCCCTGCATCCGGCTGGGGTGATCACGGTTGCGCGTCACCGGTGACAGGTGGATTGCCAGACAAGCGAATACAGCTTTGCTCTAGTGACTTGTCAATGTGCACCAAGGAAAATATCGAATTGTGCACGGGCTTTATATATCTCCCAGTGCGGCCGTCCGACCTGAATTATCTTCTTCAGATCCACGGTCCTATTGTCATCCAGAGCTTCCTGACACATCTCGATATTTATATTTCCGCTCCAACTACGATCGCATCTCTTCTACACCGTACTCAATCAGTACTCAACCGACTCCATCACCTGCCATGGCATACAACAGACCTGATGCCTCAACGGCATTCACCTTTGACAATGATGACCGCTTTGTCAACCAACAGTCCAAAGGCCCCGATCCACTATCGGCCAATTGGAGTTATGACAGCGCCATCGATCTATTTTCGCTGAACACCATGCTTCCCGAGACCTTCCCTCTCGATATCCCCAATGATATGCTGCTCGATCCCAAGGATTTCCCTGTGGATTTGTTCGCTCCCCCGGCTGATATTAGCGGGTTTGCCATCTCTCACTCTGGCGAGGATTCTCTCTCATCGGTATGCTTTTGTATCACTGCTATTTTATACAAATTACTGACAAGGACCATCCAGGATCTGGAAAGTGAAGATCAACCTTGGTCTCCCGCCTACCGTGTCTCATCGCTCGACTCGGCCACGCCAGACGCCCCCGCCGTCTCGCCACGCACAACTGAAAAGCCAACAACCCGCCGCAGAACAACCACTCAGAAACGCGAACAAGCGACCCGCTGGTCGTCCAGCCCTGAAATGACACCTCAAGAATACCCCGTCACCTCACAAGCCACCACTTCTCCCGCCCCTGCACCCGTCTCTCCCCCCGCGGCCTCAACCTCCCGCAAGAACTCACGCAGCCTCTCCACCGACTCGCAAACAGCAACAGGCCGCAACGCAGCCAAGCGAGCTGCCCACAACATCATCGAGAAGCGGTACCGCACCAACATGAACGCCAAGTTCGTCGCACTGGAAAAAGCCATGTCCGGCAGCGGGGTCCAGAAGCCCACCAAGGGCGGGTCGGGGCCCGCCTCGCTGAAGAAGTCGGAGATCCTGACCAATGCCATTGCCTACATGCAAGAGCTGCAGGACGAGAACGCCGCGCTGCAGAAGGAGCTGGCGCTTCTGAAACAGAACCTGCTTCCTGGCGGGCTGTGGCGACATAACAAGGAGAATGAGAAGTTTCGCGCCTAGCGAATCATATCCATCTCTTTCTTACGATCGCTGTATACTATAACGACTGATTTTTATTAATCGGGCTACTCTCCTATCGGTGGCGCTGGGATTTCTTGACTAGTTAATATACCCAAAAGTTCTTGTGCAGTTATGCAGTGTACTATCGTATAAATATACTACAATCTCTCTCATATCTACGGAATCCACGGCATCTATGTGGAATAAACCTAATCCCAGACATGAGCGAATTACCAGAACCACTCCCTTCCTCGTAGCCTGTCGGAGAAATAACGCTAGGCTAGCTCCTATCCGCCCCTTACCTCACTATCCCAGACACCCCGGAGCTAATAGATTAGACAGTGCTTTCATGCAAAGTGATCAATGTAACGCAATCACCCTCCATGCAGATCACTCCGCACCCCGTGGCGGATCTAGACCAGTCCTATCCAGCCCGTACCAAGTAGGATGTACTTTTGCTTCCTGGTTAGGTTCGCCGTCCAACAGGGATCTGACTTGACGGATGGGTCTGGGATCTATCTTCTTGATTTCCCCTAGGCAATGATACATGCTCGATTAGATACCTGTTTGGATCCTTGTTTTGTCTAAGGTCTAAGGCACCTGGTAAGGGACGGGGAACGAGTAAAGAGGAGTTCACATGAATGTGTGCATATGAACGTTTTGTTGCGGCGGGTAGAGTCGGGATCTGCCGCTTGATCCTTGCTGGTTGTGTTGCCTCTGCCATTGGTGAACGTTGATGCGAGGCGAACGCGAGGATGCGGATATGACGTGCTGTACTTTATTCTCTATCTGCCAATAATGCGGCAGGGATCGCGCCGAAATGAAGATCAGGATCGACGTTGGACTAGGTCGATGGTACTTCACCTCCACCAAAGAAGCATCCTATTGAATGAGAGGCTTTGACGATTACTTGAAACGGGATTCGTGCAGTCGATGGTACTACAAGCGAGACAGCAATGACCCTGGACCATGTAGGACGCACAGTCCCTCTGGACACTATCTGAAATATCTTGTCTTGCTTGTGAGTCGGACGCTTTCAGGAACATGTCTTACCGTACAGCGTATATGGCTCTAGGTTGAAACGGAGGAGTATGGAGTCGACGCCGCTGACAGTCCAAGTGAAGAGCTAAGTTGAGTACAAGCTGCCGTGCGAGCTGTAGAGGCCGGTTCTCGCGTGTGCTGGAAATTGACCTGCGGAGGTTGTATTTCTGCGATAACTAGCTAGCGCTGAGAGCTTCCTGGCTGGAAGGTATGAGGTTGACACAGTGTTGCCAAGGTTCTTCGCGTTATCAGAGGGTTACAGTGCTGGTACTGGTCGAGCAGGGGGCATCCAGTCGAACAGGTTACTATGCCAGTTGTGAATCAGCTTTGCGCTAATGTGCAGTATCTTCGAGGTGCCTCACATGCACCTGAAGGTGAGTTTATCGAGTTCGGCAAGGAAATGTCGACATAGGTGTCTGGCCAGTCAGTGTGGTAAAACTGGAGAGATAGTTGATGGGCATCACTGTGGTTTGAGCAAGGATGTTATGAGCCAGAATGGTAACGAACGCAACCACCTTGTCAGCTTAAACAGCTATCAACCACCGTCATTGTCTCTCGCAAGTCTTTAATCCACTAATTTGGACTTATTGAGAAGCAGGAGAACCCGCACCCCAATTGATGAGAGCGACATGAGAGTCGGTAATGGCGCACCGGACAACCGAAGAACCCAGCACTTCAGGAGCAGAGAATCAAGGATACTCAACTTTCAAGAATAAGCATAGATTGATAAGATCAAGCCCCACTGATGCCAATAACCTTTCTATTCAAAGCATCGATGCAAGGTTAAATTTCGTTAGTTTCATGAGGCTGTTGATCTTCAACCAATATTTCAACAGACGCGTCATCCTCAGTGGGCTTTGAGAAAGCCAATGACGCGGCCGATCTGTCCCACAGCAGTCGATCTGCACCGTGTTTGACTCTTGTGGGAGGCAGCCTTGAGGGGCTTTGCTTGAGATGATAAAATAAATCCCCACAATTCTTCACCTCCCACCGGATACGACTTTATCCGGAATCGCAACCATTCTGCAATTGTGGGAAACCAGTACGTCCGGTCCATGATCAAACGCAGGAACGGGTCTTAGTCCCGAATTTACCTGCTTTAGCTTCCGGTATACGTACATTGATTTCCTGAAGAATTAAGGAGGCAACAGGTGTCTGCATGCTTGTTTCTATCATCTAACGTGTTTCGGGTCCGTCACCAAGTCTTCTCCCAAACATGGACTTATGTACTCGTGCGCATCCACAAACAGATGACGACGACAATGAGGTCTCAGCCCGTCCTCATCTAACCTGAGATGGGTTCAGTATGCTTGACGAATAGAAAAGATGCTCATGAATCTGGACACTACTTCATATAAAGCCCCTGTCGCATACCAATCTTCGACAACTCTTTTCATTGATCCATCACTCATTCTTGTCACTCTTTGACTCTCGTCATGCGTACCTCCCACGGCTCAGCTGTTGCTGCTCTGGCAGTGGCAGCCAATGCTGCATCTCTCGCTGACGTCTGCACCGTCTCCCACGTGCAGTCCGTGCTTCCTTCAAACGGAACTCTTCTCGGTATCAACCTGATTCCTTCCGCAGTGACTGCAAGCGCAGTCTACAACAGTACCTCCAGCGGCGGCATGGGCGGCATGGGCGGCTCCAGCAGTGCCAACTACCCCTACTGCAATGTGACAGTCACCTACACTCACCCCGGTAAGGGCGACAAGGTGGTAGTCAAGTATGCCTTCCCCCAGCCTTCCGACTTCAAGAACCGGTTCTACGTTGCCGGTGGTGGTGGCTACTCCCTCTCCAGCGATGCCACTGGCGGCCTAGAGTACGGTGCAGCGTCTGGTGCCACCGATGCGGGTTACGATGCCTTCAGCTACAGCTACGACGAGGTGGTTCTTTACGGCAACGGATCGATCAACTGGGACGCCACGTACATGTTCGCCTACCAGGCCCTGGGCGAGATGACCACTCTCGGGAAGACATTGACCAGGAACTTCTACGGTCTGTCCAGCGATGCCAAAGTCTACACCTACTACGAAGGATGCTCCGACGGTGGACGTGAAGGCATGAGCCAGGTTCAGCGCTACGGCGATCTGTACGACGGTGCCATCACTGGTGCCCCGGCTTTCCGCTACGCCCAGCAGCAGGTCAACCACGTCTTTTCGTCGGTTGTTGAGAAGACTCTCGACTACTACCCTCCCCCTTGCGAACTGGCCAAGATCGTCAACGCCACCATCGAGGCCTGCGATCCTCTCGACGGCCGCACTGACGGGGTGGTCTCCCGCACCGACCTCTGCAAGCTGCACTTTGACCTTTCGAAGATCATCGGTGAGCCGTACTACTGCGCCGCAGAGACAAGCACCTCGCTCGGCTTCGGCTTCAGTAAACGCCAGGCACCCGGCAGCACGACCAGCTACCAGCCTGCACAGAACGGCACCGTCACCAAGGAGGGCGTGGCTGTCGCCAAGGCCATTTACGACGGTCTGCACAACACCCAGGGCCAGCGCGCCTACCTCTCCTGGCAGATCGCCTCGGAATTCTCCGATGCCACCACCGAGTGGAACAATGACACCAGCTCCTGGGAGCTTAGCATCCCGTCCACCGGCGGCGAATTCGTGACCAAGTTCGTGCAGCTCCTGGATCTCGATAACCTGTCCACCCTCGACAACGTCACCTACGACACCCTCGTCGAATGGATGAACACCGCCATGGTGCGCTACATGGACAGCCTGCAGACCACCGTCCCGGATCTTACGACCTTCAAATCCTCCGGCGGCAAGCTACTGCATTACCACGGTGAATCCGACCCTAGTATCCCCGCCGCGTCGTCGGTGCACTACTGGCAGTCTGTGCGCTCGATCATGTACCCCGGTGTGTCGGCCTCGAAGAGTCTAAAGGAGCTTCAGGAGTGGTACCAGTTCTATCTTATCCCCGGTGCGGCGCACTGCGGTGCCAACTCCCTGCAGCCTGGTCCGTACCCGCAGAACAATATGGACATCATGATCGACTGGGTGGAGAACGGCGTGCAGCCGACCCGACTGAACACCACGGTGTCCTCTGGCGACTACGCCGGCGAGACCCAGATGCTCTGCCAGTGGCCTACCCGTCCTCTGTGGAAGGACAACTCGACCTTTGACTGTGTCAACGACGAGAAGTCGATCGAGGGCTGGACCTATACCTTTCCTGCTTTCAAGGTACCAATCTACTGATCACGTCTCTTGTGCGGGACTTGTATTCTTCACTTCTTCTACTACGCATGTAGCTTAGATTTAGTTACCATTATCATTTAAAGTTGTATAATACAAATCATCATAAAGTATTTCCATCAACGACACTCATATACAAGCCAAGTCATCAGACTCGAATCACTCCCTCTTCTCCAAACTCTCCCCATTCGACAGTCTCCTATACCACGTCAGCTCTATCCCTAATCAGAGGATAGGACACAAACCTCTGAAACTCCTCAATATCCCTCGCCATATTCCCAGCACCACTACTCCTCCGATCAGGATGATCGTTATGCGACTGTCCGAAATTCCCGAGTAGCTCGTTGAACTCTACAGCGAACCGTCATCGTCAGCATTCACTGCACTCGCAGACAAGAAAAAAAAAAAAAAAACATACGCTGCTGAGTCTGCTGATGCCGCTGCTCAGTCTCCTCTTTCCGAGCGGTGGACTTGCGACGGTCGTGTTTGAGGTGGCCGTGTTTTTGGAGGAGGTCCATTGTATCTTTTCCTCTTATCTTTGATTATGTTTTGGATGTGGTTGCTTATAGTGATATCTGTATGATAGATAATGTGATAATGGCCAGGGTATGGATGAGGAATCTTTATATATGCAATGGTATTAAAGAATAATTACATCATGATCTACGATTAGGTACTCTAGGGTGGATGTATCTCTTTCTTGTTGATGATTGACGGGGACTGGTTGGATGTGCGTGGCGTGCGTCATAGTTTAGTAGTGATCTGGTCTGGGCGGATGCGGGGGTGGCCACGCCCAGGACCTGGTGGGCAACAGCTCAAAAGGAGTGGGTTTAAAGGTCCTGTAGGTGTTGGATGTGTCCGTGCGTTTCTATTGTATTATAGATATCCTTGTTTGTGTGGATTGCTGACTGAGGATATCCTGGTAACCGGTGTACCAGCCGGTCGGATCGAGTGCTGAAGGCTGAAGCTATCCATCTGATGCTACAAGTCTCTTGTCATCAGATAAGATAAGCATCACGATATCGGACTTTTGTTGCAATTAAGATGGGGATGGAGATGACAGCTTCATGAGTCACTGATGGCATAGGCCAAGTGCCAAGCTGATATTCTCGGTAGACGTAATCTGAGCCACGCGACCAAGTTTGGGTATTCTTCACACCTCAGGCTCAGGCTGAGGCTCAGCTAAGAGGTGAAGACATCGATGGTCATGGTGCAAGCCAAGATACATCCCTTTCATGCGGATTATGTTGAGGACGAGATCGGTCGTAGTCGATCATTCATTAATGCAAGTCTGAGCAAGTCAGTAACGTGTTTATCAGGTTCTGCATAAGTAGTTTGTACATACAGTGTTTTGTACATAGAAGTAGATGCATAAAGACCATGTCATGTTATGCACTCTAACAGTCTTGTTGAGTTCCATTGAAGACTATCTCTAGACTGTTAGTATGTTATCACTCATCACTCTGCCATGGTTGATCATATTATTATTGATACTGGATTAGGGGAGGAAGGTGAAAATATAAATAGTTGACACAACCTTGGTTCAGATTTCTGGGCATGGATACACGTGTTATGGCTGGTCCCTGGTAGTTCATCCTGAATTCCAGAGTACACAACCTTGGTATGCAAGCCAGCAATATCACATCATTCACATGTTGTGCAGTACTATTAGACAGATAGTATCTATTTATCATCTCGATCCTGCTGCGGAGTGCGGACAAGATGAATCCGCCAACACGTGATACCCCCTGCTTGCCAAGAAGGCGCAATTGGGTCCAAAAAAGGCATAATAGCAAATCCTAGGCTTCCTAGCAAGTCTAACGGGAAGATATCATGCCAGCAAATTGCCATTGTCTAATGCCAAGCTAGTTAATATCGGCCCTCATCTAGCGAGGCAAGCTACAGCAAGCTACGGCAAGCCCTGGCAAGCCTCGGCCACTCATGCTTGTAGCAACCAAGCTTAGGGCGAGACATTGGCAAATACAAAGACCAGGCCTATCATAGGCATCTTCCGCTTATCACCATCGACTTATCAGCGGTGTTTAGTTGTTCGTGTTGGATAATGAATACTACCTACTCCATCTCCATCCTGCAATGCAATTGGCGGTACGGACCCTGCCGGAATGCAATTGTGGACGGAGTAACTATGAGCTGACTTCTGCTCGACACCGGACCGAGGCAGATACAAACTGTACGCATTCTGTAGAGTAAGGATGTATTCCTTGATAACATCAATAATAGTGTTGACAGTTCAATAATTGATTCCTGTGAAGACAACACTGGACTAAGTGCGAAGGGATTGGTGCCTGGCAGCCTGACTCATGTGGCCATGGACGATCAGTCTTGGCGAATTCTCAGAGTTTCAAGGATTCAAGATCAACAAACAATCCCCTTTCGAATCGGACAACAACTCCCACATCATGCAATCCCTCGTCCATCTGCATCAATTCAGACATGACAAGTCATACATGGAAACCCCGCACATGCCACATTGTCTGCTATCTATCTATCTACACTGCTATTCAATTTCCAGCACCAGTTCTAGCCGAAATGAGTCTGCCCCCGGTGGAGCTCTCCTGACGATCCCTCCCTGATAAGCCAATCTCCAAGACACCAAGACCGCCCCCTCGCGCCATGTAACTCTTCTGCAGGTCCATCGGAATTCCCGCCAGGGCAGATCCAATCGAAAGACGATCATGTCCTGGATCCAACAGCCCAGCAGGACCCCGTCGGTCCTCCGATTTGCTAGGCTCTCCATTGAGCTGCTCACTGTCGCTGTCTGTAGCAACAGGTATGCAGCTTGCAGGTAACCGAGATGCAGTCGGTCAGTGATCGGCCATTGGTATAAATATCTTACCACCTCAGTCCTCTCTCTTCACCCTCACTTCCCCATCATTCTCCTCCATCTGTCCATTGACAGCAGCGACATGTTTTCGTCGCTCCTGAACCGTGGAGCTCTGCTCGCGGTTGTCTCTCTCCTGTCGTCTTCCGTTGCTGCCGAGGTCTTTGAGAAGCTGTCCACTGTGCCACAGGGTTTGTCCCCCGTATCACTACCTAAGAGGTGACGAGACTGACGGAACAGGATGGAAATACTCCCACACCCCCAGTGACAGCGATCCCATTCGCCTCCAGATTGCCCTGCAGCAACATGATGTCGAAAGTTTCGAGACCGCCCTCCTGGAAATGTCCGATCCCTACCACCCAAACTACGGCAAGCACTTTCAAACTCACGACGAGATGAAGCGGATGCTGCTGCCCACCCAGGAGGCGGTCGAGTCCGTCCGTGGCTGGCTGGAGTCCGCTGGAATTTCGGATATTGAGGAGGATGCAGACTGGGTCAAGTTCCGCACAACTGTTGGCGTGGCCAATGACCTGCTGGACGCCGATTTCAAGTGGTACGTGAACGAGGTGGGCCACATTGAGCGTCTGAGGACCCTGGCATACTCGCTCCCCCAGTCGGTCGCGTCGCACGTCAACATGGTCCAGCCCACCACGCGTTTCGGACAGATCAAGCCCAACCGGGCGACCATGCGCGGTCGCCCCGTGCAGGTGGATGCGGACATCCTGTCGGCGGCCATTCAAGCCGGCGACACCTCCACTTGCGATCAGGTCATTACCCCTCAGTGCCTCAAGGATCTGTACAATATCGGCGACTACAAGGCCGACCCCAAACGGGGTAGCAAGGTCGCGTTTGCCAGTTTCCTGGAGGAATACGCCCGCTACGACGATCTGGCCAAGTTCGAGGAGAAGCTGGCCCCGTATGCCATTGGCCAGAACTTTAGCGTCATCCAGTACAACGGCGGTCTGAACGACCAGAACTCCGCCAGTGACAGTGGTGAGGCCAATCTCGACCTGCAGTACATCGTTGGTGTCAGCTCCCCCGTTCCTGTCACCGAGTTCAGCACCGGTGGCCGGGGTCTTCTCATTCCGGACCTCAGCCAGCCCGACCCCAACGACAACAGCAACGAGCCTTATCTGGAATTCCTGCAGAATGTGTTGAAGATGGACCAGGACGAGCTTCCTCAGGTCATTTCCACCTCCTATGGAGAGGATGAGCAGACCATTCCCGAAAAATACGCTCGCTCGGTCTGCAACCTGTACGCTCAGCTTGGCAGCCGCGGGGTTTCAGTCATTTTCTCCTCTGGCGACTCCGGTGTTGGCGCGGCTTGCTTGACCAACGACGGCACCAACCGCACCCACTTCCCTCCGCAGTTCCCTGCGGCCTGCCCCTGGGTGACCTCGGTGGGTGGCACGACCAAGACCCAGCCCGAGGAGGCCGTGTACTTTTCGTCGGGCGGTTTCTCCGACCTGTGGGAGCGTCCTTCTTGGCAGGATTCGGCGGTCAAGCGCTATCTCAAGAAGCTGGGCCCTCGGTACAAGGACCTGTACAACCCCAAGGGCCGTGCCTTCCCCGATGTCGCTGCTCAGGCCGAGAACTACGCCGTGTTCGACAAGGGGGTGCTGCACCAGTTTGACGGAACCTCGTGCTCGGCTCCCACCTTTAGCGCTATCGTCGCTTTGCTGAACGATGCGCGTCTGCGCGCTCACAAGCCCGTTATGGGTTTCCTGAACCCCTGGCTGTATAGCAAGGCCAGCAAGGGATTCAACGATATTGTCAATGGCGGTAGCAAGGGCTGCGATGGCCGCAATCGATTCGGAGGTACTCCCAATGGCAGCCCTGTGGTGCCCTACGCCAGCTGGAATGCCACTGATGGCTGGGACCCGGTCACTGGCCTAGGTACTCCTGACTTTGGCAAGCTTCTGTCTCTTGCTATGCGGAGATAGTCGGCATGTCATAATATAAATATGAATAATTCCTTGCACATTCTCCTTGCACGTTGATATCGAAGTTGTATACCTGTAGGACGAAGTATGGTTCAGCCCTAGTTCATGGTAATGGGGCTAAATATAACCAAGCGAAGCGAGTCACCGGTGGAGACGATCGACACGCGACCTCGTATCGCAGCGAACTACCCAATCCTCAGCCCTGTGCGAAGCAGACATTGGAGCCGCCAAGCAAGAATACGAGGATTGTCCCATCCAGCAGTCATACCTCTGTAACATAAAGCACTGCACTTCCTTTAAAACTTTTCAATTGCAGAAAATAAAAGACTGCGTTGCGTTGAAAATGCTCCTCTCACTTGTTACTGTCATTTCCGTCTTCCAGCTGGCGATAGCCACCAACCTCAACCCACCGATTCTCTACTCCCGCCACGCCGCACAAGAAGGGTCTCTTGAGAAACGCGAAACTTGCGAAGATGGCGCCCAGTGTCTGTTGGGATCATGCTGCGGCGACGGATGCGCCTTGAACTGCTGCGCGTTGGATAACGGCGGCTGTAAGCCCCCTTCCCCGTCCCTTCCCTTTCCTTTCCATCCCACTACGGAGTAGACTAATGAGTGATGACTATCTACAGTGGGCTGCGGAATCGCAGAACGGTGCCAGTTCCGCGGGAATGTGTTTGTCGGGTGTTGTGGGAATTTCCTGGGGTAGGTCATTTCTTTGCTTCTTTCAAGCTGGATAGAAGTGCGAGTGCGAGTGGTGCTGACGGCGCAGGGGCTGCACTGGTGAGGCGACGCATGTCACGGTCCACACGCCTTACTCGACTGTTACGCTCGGCGCGCCGACGGATGCGATGACTACAGGTACGAGTACGACGACGACGGAGCAGATGTTTACGGCGATTTCGGTGACGCCAACTGCCACCGCGACCGCGACGGGGTCAACAAGCACGACCACGACTACGTCGAGTGAGAGTGAGAGTGAGACGGGAAGTAGCTCGCATTCTCATCGCGTGTCGGCGTCAAGCACGAGTGTAGAGGCCGAGACCACGTCTAGTACTAGCCACCGTAGGACGACGACAACGGCGGCATTCTCGCAGGCTTCACCGTCGCCGAATAATGGCGGAGGATCTGGTGTGGGAGTGGAAGCGCCCGTTCTGGCTGGGATGGTTGCGTTGGGTGCTGTTCTGTTGTGAGATGATTCAATCGGAGACTGAGAGTAACAGTATACGTTATATATAAGTATCTAATCAATGTTTACCCCGCATTACTCTCATCAGTCATCAAACTGCGGAAAAATGTCTCATACGGAGTACAGTGATAAGACGCAGATCGCGAATGCTTACTCGCATCGACTTTCCTTTTCAGGATACTCCTTTCTTCTTAATACAACCTAGAAAATGTTCCTGAGGTATTTCATCCCTATCAGCTGTGGTGGATATTCCGCAGTCAGGAGGTCCAGCCGAGAAGATTAACCTAAACCCCGCAAAGTGAAAAATCTAGCGAACCGAAACGAACTGCAGACTGCGGATTTTGCGCCAACAAATCACTCGCGGGCCAGTTATCAAGCAATATCATCACCAAGATGATGATCCCTCATTACCAATAATCTCAGTCAGTATCTAGGCTAGACTGTATCTTCTATCTACGTCTGATACCCGTATCTGCATCCTTCGTGAGGGGAAGGGAGGTGTCGGTGTCGGTGTCTGCCGGGCATATATGACCCAGACCTGCACTACATGCAACACAATGGACATGTCTGATATTTCTCATCACCTCATATTCGTCACATAATTGCTGCAATTACTGTGCCGTGATGGACATCGAAAACATCAAAGCGGCCGATTCGGCCTCGGTCGACCAGAGCGTGCAGGATGCGCGCGATCTCGCCACAATGGGGCACGACCAGGCCCTGACCCGCAAATTCGATTTGTGGAGTATGCTCGCGCTGGCGTTTTGCGTACTAGGTATTCTCTTCCCCCGTGGGCCTTCTTGGATAGTGGAGGATGGCTAATGCTAGTAGGAACGTACTCGACTTTCGCGCAGGGCCTCAGCAGCGGGCTTACCAACGGTGGTCCCATTACGATCCTCTGGGGTCTGGTCCTGGTGACGGTCTGTAACCTTTGTGTTGCTGTCTCGCTGGGCGAATTGACGAGTAGTATGCCTACGGCGCTAGGGCAAGCGTACTGGGTGTACAGGCTGTGGCATACGCCGACGGGGCGGTTCGTGTCGTACCTGTGTGCGTGGATCAACACGTTCGGGTGGTGGACGCTCACGGCGTCGCAGATTGCGTTTATGACAGAGTTTCTGCTGGGGATGAAGGTGATGTTTGATGAGAATTGGGGCGGTGCGGGGGTCGGCTGGCTGCAGTTTGTGATTTATCTCGGGCTGGTGTTGGTTCTGACGGTGGTGAATGTGGTGGGGTGTCGGCGGGAGAAGATCCTGCCGTGGTTGAATGGGTTTGTGGGGGTGTGGTTTACCGGGTTGTTTGTGGTGCTGTCGCTTGCGCTGTTGATTTCTGTTGGGACCAAGGCAGATCTGTCGTTTCAGCCCGGGAGGTTTGTCTTTGGGGCGTGGATTAACCAGACGGGGTGGAGTGATGGGGTCGTGTGGTTTACTGGGCTGGTGCAGGCCGCGTATGGGCTTACTGCGTTTGACGCGGTCATCCATATGGTCGAGGAGATGCCGGCGCCGAGGATCAACGCGCCAAGGGTGACGTATCTGGCGGTGCTGTCGGGTGCTGTCACTGGGTTTATCTTCATGGTCGTCTGTCTGTTTTGCATGCAGGATGTGGATAGGATTGTTGACTCGCCTAGCGGACTGCCGTTTATCGAGTTGATGCTGGAGACGGTCGGCCTCAAGGGCGGAGCCACTCTCATCGCGCTGTTCATCTTCAATGGCGTCGGCCAGGGCATCAGTATCCTGACGACTGCATCCCGGCTGACCTGGGGGTTTGCCCGCGACGGCGGTCTCCCCTGGAGCCGGTACCTGACGGTGGTGGATCCCGCGTGGAAGGCTCCTGTGCGCGCGCTCTGGGCGCAGGGGGTATTGATTGCGCTCGTTGGGGTGCTCTACCTCTTTGCCAACACTGTCCTCGAAGCGATCCTCAGCGTCAGCACCATCGCCTTGACCATCTCGTACGCCCTGCCAATTGTGGTGCTACTCTTTGTGGGCCGGGACCAGCTGCCGCCTGGTCCTTTTCGTCTCGGCCGCTGGGGAACGGCAGCCAACTGGGTCAGCATTGTATATTGTGCCATCACGACGGTCTTCTTCTTCTTCCCTGGCTCGCCCGACCCAGCGCCAGGGGACATGAACTACGCGATTGCGGTGTTTGGGGTGATGCTCGTGGTGGCTGTCGGGTTCTGGTTTATACAGGGCAGTCGGACGTACCTACAGACGGCGGATGCGATAACGCAGCTGATTCTCGCGCAAGGATTGGAGTTGGAACCGGAGCCCACAAAAAGGTCCGATCTATGATGTAGCCTATGAAACTACTTATCTCTATAACCAGCTAGCTCCTCCTGCGCTTTTATCAACATTTCTTCCCAGTTCGTACCCGCCAGCCACTCCTCATACGACTTTGTCCGTATCTCCAGCTGCTCAGGCATCATCACCTCGAGCGAGCCCGTATACCCAAACTCGGCAATAAACCGCGGCGCATCCAGCACCTCCCAGGGGATCTTCAACCGCTCATGCATCTCCTGCAAATCCACCTCCTCGGCCTCAACCTCCCACCCAGTCACCCTCTTCCACACATCCACCACCTCCTCCATGGTCAGGTAGCTATCATACCCCAGCACCCACCTCCCAGGGGCACTTTCAACCATCGCCCTAACAAACTCCCCCGTCGACTCCCCGGCGGCAATAATCGGCAGCCGCATCGTCTTCGTCCCGGGAATCGTGAACCGTAACACTCTTCCCTCCCCAGCCGCGACAGGCTTAACCCTCGGCAGAATCAGCGGATTGGTTGCATACGCCCCCATCACCAAAAACGACACCTTCCCTCTCAACCCCTCCTCCCTTTCCAAAATCTTAACTACCTCCGCCTTGGCATCCCAGTGATACGAATTCATATACTTCCCCCCAGATAACTCCCTCATCCCGGGAAGCGTGGAATACACCACGCGCTGTAAAGACGCTACCTCCCCCGCCGCGAGCGCCGCATTCCGCCCGTGCAGAATCTCCGTTTCGTATGCGGCCGTACTGTCCCGGGTGGCGCGGTACGGACCCCAGAAATCAGTGTTGAGGAAGAGGGAGGTTGCGTCTTTGAATGCGGCCCGGAGGGAATCGAGGTCGGAGAGGTCAGCACGTACGACTTCTGCGCCGGCGGCGGTGAGGGCTTGCGCGGCTGGGGAAGAAGGGGTGCGGGTTATGATGCGGACGTGCCAGGTTGGGAGGGCGAGGAAGGTGTGTGCGACGGCGGAGCCTTGGATTCCTGTTGCGCCGGTTATGACGATGATTTTTTTGGTTGCGGACATATCGAATTGTGTATGGATTTGTGGATGGTGGGTTGTTGATGATGGTGACGATATTTTGAGGAGTGACTGTACTATTTATAATCTTGGGACTGCTGTTCAATCTCTGGCTTATACTGGGTAACTATGGCTTACGCGGAGAGAATGATGCTATTCGGGTATCTAATGCTGGACTCCGATTGGCTGATTTGCGTAAGCCATCGGTGGATTATCCTCCCGCACCCGTCATCCACACTACATACTTCTATCCGACTTCCGAGTATGCAGGGAATGGAATAATGACAGTCCATGTCCATCAAAATGCAGACTCAAAAAGCAGACGCAAAGCCCAAGCCCAAGAGGATCATCACCCCCGCACGGCGGGACCAGAATCGGCGCGCGCAGAGGGCTTACCGTGGGTCTCTCCGTAGGCTGTGCTGTGCAGCGTGCTGACGTGAACAGGGCAACGACGGAGAGAGCTTCTGGCCGAAAAGCAGGGACATGCTGGTTCAAGGGAGTTGAGACCTGCGCCTGCGCCTGCGCCTATCCCGAACGGTACAACGTCGAAAAGTCTGGAAGTATCGAGGAAGATCATGCCAGCAATGCTGACGGTAGATCATTTCTTCCCTCCACGTAATCCGTCTAGCAAAGGCAATACGGAAGACACCGTCAGAGATGAAGTACCACCACCCCTATTCACCACATACACCCTCCTCCTCGCAGCCTGCGTCTACAACGCCGCAGCCCTAGGCATCAGCATCGACCAGTTCTCCAGCTGCAACTGCATGTCGCTGTGCTCGCCTTTCTACCGGCCCTACACAGCCATGTCGGCCGATCCGTCATCACTCCTAGCTGCAGCTACAGTTACTCGCCCAGCTATCCCGGTTCATCTCCGCCCGACTCTCCCGCAGGTTCTCTTCCCGCATCATCCGCTTTTTGATCTCCTTCCGCTGCCGGCGCTGAGAGCAAAAGCGATTACCTTTGCTGCTACCGCACCATCTATCCTCGATGCGGTTGAGTTCAAACGAGATATTGTCGAGAGGGGAGGGATTGTATGCTCGTCTGAGTCTGCCGGAGGCATGCAGCCGTGGGATATGCGCGCTTGGACGATTGCGCCGTGGTTTAGGAGGAAGTGGCGGGTACTTTCTCAGTCTGAAGATCTCGCATAGTTCGTCCCGTAGGAGAGCTTGAATCCGCGGTAGCTGGTCTATTGAACAAGTAAAGAAAGTCTAGACCGTGTCAATGCAAGATCTAGGCGGAAAAGGCCACGTCTTTGCAGCTGCATCTGGTCATAACTCCTCACCCATAGTCTCAATGTACATATCAAAGAGATATTGATTCCTCTTGTTCGTCTCCTCCCATCGTTCCATCGGGACCCAACCCGTGTCATCAGTGTAAGTTGGGTCTTGCGCAAGTAAGCATATCCTGATACTTGGCTACTTGTTCCTCATGCATGTTTAGCGCCTTCTCAGAAACGCAAACGGACAGCTTCCTGGAAGTCCCAAACTAGCCCAATCCTGTGAACTGCGTATGAGAGAGTTCCGTATTGGAACCTTACTTCCGTTCAAGAAAAGCTGGCAGCACGTAAACGGCTCCCATAGGCTCTGGTCGAACTTCATTGCCCTATGCACATGTTTGATGTATGCAAGGCAAGACATTTCGTAGTAATTCGACTGGGTTGCCAGTGTCTTGTCCCTGGTAGCTCGCTCCTTTTGCTCGAGATCTAGTTCCTCAAGATTGTCTGGCAGACTGGGGATTTCGGTGACAGGTTTGTAACCCTTGGGCGGACCGAGACACTCTGGAAATTGAGCCTGGATGAACAGGGGCGCAATCTGAGCTGACTGCCAATCGATTATGCCTTCGATGATAGTCGGGTTGTCGGAAGAGACAGAGAATTTTTCCCAAACCCAGATCCGTATGCCATAAGACTGGTGCCGCCACGTCTACCACGCGTGGAATAGGAAGAATGTCCTTTACTTTTGTTAATAGGTTGCTGTATTCGTTGACGGACTGCTTCTCGCTAAAATGATTGATGTCATTCTGGACCCCGCTTCCTCATTTGCAGTGCGCTTCGGTTCTCGTTGGGGAATTGATAGCGCAAAATCCAGAAGGAGGTCCCTGTAAGCGTCAGGAGGAGAACAGACTCACATGGACCGACATCTTGCACAGCTCTGAACTCCTCAGCAAGTTTATGCCACATCCATCGCTCACATGATGGCCCAATGCAGAACAATTCAGCCGGATACAAAGCCAGCGGCAGAGAGGGCACCGAGTCTCGCAGAAAGAGACTCCCCTAGGCCGGGAACTGCAGGTGTCAAGCTCTCTCTCCATTTCTACAATTCAGTTAACCACTTTGTAGCGCTCTAAACTCTCATCGTTTCCCATCGTTCAGCAAGCGGAACTCCGGAATTTTCTCCATGATATACTCCGCGCCTACTGGATTTCCTACGTCTGAACTCCAAGCTAACACTTTCGGAACCCCAATTGACGTATACAATCGCACTAACAGACTGGTTTTGTTGATTGCAGGCTCGTGATAGGGTGTCGGTAGATATAAGGATCGTCTTGGTCCTCTTGGATGTACAAAAGGGTTGATTGGAAAGACACTAGCAAACCTGGCGTGGGTTGGATGCTTGACTAGAGAAGTGAATGATTTCTTCCACATCGTCCATCGAGATCTAAAGAGATGAATATCTGCGGTAATACAAGGGATGAAGCGAAAGATGTTGAGCTAAAGTAAGAGACGTGGGGATGAACCACCTGTCTACCCCATGGGGTGCGTGGAGCAATCTTATTAATGTCAAATACTATGGATATGATTCGCATTGAGTTAAACTGTAGCTGCTCTACATTAGACGTAAAATATTTCCACCAAATGCTATTCGTTCTGGCATTGCTAGATCCATGGAACGGGGTTTATGGCAGCATCCAGGAATTCGCCGCCGCCACCGATCTCCAAGTCTTGAAGCTTCGTCGGCGGGTTACTCAATTCCAACACTCCTATCAAAGCGTGCACGCGGTGTGGTATTTGTCCTACAGGCTTTGAGATTGTGTTCCTCCACCTCGAGATATTCCGACTTCCTTCTGTCGATGATTGCCATATTCAGACTTGCTGTAGATGCAACCTGTTGATAGCATACCATGCAGCGACACTTGACTCGCATGGATATCGATTGATTAAAATGGCATTGCACGGTCGCAGTAGGGTGGTATTCACAGTGACCATGGTGTTCCTGTGTCTATCGTTTATTGCCGTTGCTCTGCGGTGCTTCGTCCGGCTGAGACTAGTGAAAGCTTTTGGATGGGATGATGGCCTGATGGTGTTAGCAATGGTACGTGAGCTGATACGACCCTCGACAATAGACATCTCAACTGATACTAAGATCTCAGCTATTCAACATCTGGTTTGCAACATGCGTGCTGGCTGGCTCGGTTGCCGGGGTTGGGAAAAGATTTGACCAGTTCGACTCGGTAGAAGATGCTCAAATGGGTCTTCTGGTACGTTCCTAGCGTAACCCCAAGCTGGCTATTGCCAGTAACTTACATAGCATGAACAGTGGTGGTGGCTCGCCCAGAGCGCCTATGTTTGCGTCGTGGCAACTGCAAGAATCTCCATCGCGATGCTCCTTCTCCGTCTTACCGTCCAGCGGCGCCAATCAGTCGTCCTGTATATTGTAATCGGGCTAACAGCCACTGTCGGCCTCGCCTTCTGGCTTATTCTGACGTTGCAGTGCCATCCGGTTCGAGAATTCTGGCAACGAACGGGCAGAGGCCACTGCATTGACACCCAGTATGTAGTGGACATTGCGTACCTCTATAGCGCGACTGCATGTCTTTGCGACTTCACCCTTGGACTCTTCCCTGTATATCTTGTAAAAAACCTGCATATGAGCTGGAGGACTAAATGGGCGATAAGAGTCATTCTCAGCATGGGATGCATGTATGTCGGCAGTCCGAAAGAAAGCTCCTATACTGACTGCATTCTAGAGCAGGTGCTGCCGTCGCAGCCCGTATCCCCTATCTCCCGGACTATACAAATCCAGACTTCCTATGTCAGTCTTGCACGATGAAAGTTACACAAGCATCCAATAACTGATAACCGTCTTTTTCAGATGCCACCGCTGGTATCGCTATCTCGTCCGTCATCGAGGCCGGTCTCGGCATCATGGCTGGGAGTCTCATCACGCTCCGTCCACTCATGCGCTGGCTCCGAGACGTTAGTCACAGGGTATCGAGCACAGCAAGAGGAGTAGCATCTAGTAGTAATCGCACGCAATCTTTGTCCGTTGAACAAAAACACACCTCCCGAAATCACGGGCAGTCAGACATTGAAGCAGCAATGCCGTCTCCTCCATCGCAGACCGACGAACCTCATTTTGGGACTGGGGCGATATAGACGCCGGGCACGGCTGTGTACACACTGGTCCGACTTGGAGGGAGGAAAGGGCCTATCTGTCATGCTGGGCGGGCCTTTTACATCTTATAAGCCAAGTACATTCATTGTTCAAAGCGCGGTTTCAGGAGGCGTGTAAGATTAAGTATTGTACATATACCATCTATATTCTTTCTCAAGGTATAGCATGCGGAGCACTTTTCTCCAGTTAACCTTGCATAACTAACATATCTATAAGTCTGTCGTCTAGGGTGATTTTCCGCAGGTCGTTCAGCAAGGTAACCAAATGGCATCATGGTGAAGTCATCAAAAGGATTTAAGACTATAATCTATTTTCTGAATCGACTGTATCCTTAGGAGAGTATCTAGGATTCAGGTCAGATGGTAGCAAATAAAGTGTATGCTATAATTTTCTACTGCCCTAGAATGGTTATCTGGCCTTTAATACAAGTGGTTCTAATATTGTCGACAGCTGTATCTGTCAACATACATACATAACCTCTCATAGTTCAAGCATCCTCCAAGAAAGAAGCAAATACAGCTTATGAAAATGGCAGTGAATACAGGCAGCATCAGCCGCCATGCGCTTGGGCTTAGTCCCACGACAAGTGAATATCCCTACCAGGGCGTGCAACATTTCCGGGACACCGTCTACAAAGAAGCAGCAGAATCCAAACACGACTACGTGATCTTCTCCAATATCGACGAGCATACCTTCCTACGGGATTTCGACGAGTCTTTAGGGAAATCATACAGCGATTTCTTTCCGCAGGTTCGCATCCTTGTTGCTAGAATGCCTACCAGCGAAGTTCACGAAGAGGCGCACGCCGAGCTCCACAATACCCTTATGATCAAGCTCGGGGCCATGAATGTCCGCTCTCAGCTGCGGTCGCTCGCAGCGGCCGATGTGGTGACTCCCACCCGAACTAAGAAGCCCGACCAATCATACAAGCCTATGAAGTTCCCAGCTGGTTACTCCGATCACTGGCCGTCTATGGTGATCGAGACTGCGTTCTCAGAGAGTCAGAGCAAACTGGCCAATGATGCGCGCTGGTGGCTGAACGCTTCCGGGGCAGAATTGAAGACTGTTATCACCATTGCAGTCCAGAAGAAAAGGGAGGCCATCACCACTGACAAATGGGAGGCGATCAGCCGGCCCACCAGAGGCGACCCGGGGAAGATGGTGCCTGAGGTTGTTCAGAAGGTGACTATGACAAGGGAGGGAGGTGATGCCCCAGTGCATATCACTGGGGCTCCCCTGATCATAGGGTTTGAGAAGCTGTTCCTCCGGCCTGCCGAGGAGGAGAAAGGGGAGGGGGACGTGCTGTTTAGTCACGATAATTTGGCCGAGATTGCCGACATGGTCTGGAGTGGCCTGAATACGGGTAACTAAATGTTACCGGAGGGACGAGATATTTGCGGAGACACGCTCTCAACATCACACGAGTTGAATTTGGCTACATAGCATAACCTCCCTTTTCCTTTCACTGTCAAGCCCGAATGCCTACACTACCAAGAGACATTGTGCATAATAAGGGCTATAGGCCGTGCAAACACCGGTGGCACAAGCCGTCGGACCCGTCCACCCGATTCCACCGCACTGTCCATACAATGGGGCAACAGCGGTCGTCGTTACTGTAGTAGTTGTTGTTGTTTGAGAGCCAGTGGTGGTCGTCGGGGTCGCAGTAGTCGTTGAAGAACTGCTGCCGGCCCCGTAGCCGCTGACAACCCGGGCAACTTGGTTCACAATCGCAGCCATTTGCACGCCTGAGTCATTAAGTCAGTAAAAACAAGTGAGACCTCAACCAACTTCCTTGACTCACCTCCGACCTGATCAGCATTTGCTCCATACCAGCCAACCCAATCCCAGCAACCATTCGGATTGGGCAGCGGCATCCCAGTCCAGATGGTGTGCATCGTGTTATCCGCAACAGCTTGCGGGTAGAGAATGATAATGTTGTTGGTATCCGCCCACATATTGTACCCGGTATTAGAAACGAATTTGCTTCCAATCATGCTGTAGCTCTGCAGGCAGCCATGCAAGGCCACATGTAGCTTGCAGACCGTCGAAGACCCAGGCTGGCATGCCTTGGGAACATACAGATATCCAGTGGTATCCATCCCACTGGCGCCGTACTCGCCCGTCTGGCTAAAGGACACAATCGATCCCGACAGTGTGCCAGTGTTTCTTGCATTCAACGACCCATACATCCACTTTAGGACAGCCCCTGCGCCGTCGTACTGGCAGTTGCTGATATAGGGAGAGACAGACGAGCTGCACGAGTTGTCGCCTGACGCATCAAAGTCGGTGGGAAAGGTGTGCACCGCGCCGCTGGTCGTGATGTACGAGACGTTTGCCGCGGTGTCAAAGTTCGCCAGCTGCGTCTTCAACTGGCTCATTACGTTCGGGCCGACGGTGGTGTCGGCGGTTCCGGTCCACATGTAGATCTTGCGGGATTGGAGGTTGCTGACAGGGTTGATTTTGTTGCCGCTCCAGGTCTTCATGTTGGCGATGGGGGTCGTGATGGATGGGTTTTGATTGTACATGCATGTAGTGTACTGCTTTGCGTCAGTGTATCTGGGTATTGAAAATGACTGTTTCTGGGATTTGGAAATGACTTACCGATTGGCCGCGTGCGCAATCATACGGTCCCCCAGCAAAGACCCCAAACCCGACTTTGAATGTGTCAGAGTATGCAACTCCAAGCTGCGCTGACATGAAGCCTCCGCTGGAGAGCCCAGAGACGGAAATTGAATTTGGGTCTACGTTGTATGCACCCAGCGCTGCGGCTGATGCAATCGCTGCTCCAGACATGGCCATCCCTAGTAAAGTGGCAACGGTTGGCATTGTTTTTGCAGAAGAGAGAGATGCTTTATTCTTTGAATTTTAGGAATAGTGGATATCTTTGTAAAGGTCAACAGAGGGACGACAATGCATTTATAGTTTGCAGTTCGTATGGAGCAGATTTCCGGGAAATGTAGCATCAACAATAGACAGGCATATATCTCCAAGCACCCCGCATTGTCCTGAAGAAAGTTACCCCAGGGTATCATTCCTCATACCAGGTCTAGGCTCTACTTCTATAAGTACGTTCCTAATTGGTCTAGAGCCTTTTCATGTGAAGATTTGTGGGATCGAAGTTCCTTTAGTTCAGGCTTCTTTGGGGACACCATGCTGTGGGGTACGGATAGTTTCTGGGGTAGCTTAGACCCGGTTGATATCAGTCCCTGAACGGGAGTAACTTCCCGAAGCCTTGTGGGGTTGACCGAATCTCCTAGTTCGGGCTCATCTTGGGGTTTCTTGGGGTGATAGACAGTGGGGTGCAGATCTTTGCGGGGGTCGATCAGACAGCTTCATTTTACTACTGGCTTGACCATATGCCGTGGTTAAGCGAGTCGGATCGGAGGAGGTTATGACGTCTAGGCAAATGTCTAGTGAATGGCTTTAAATCGACCACTTTCTAAGTAATCGTACCACAGCATTCTGTTACTTGCCGTATTGCCTGATGCACTCTGGAGACTGACCACATACAGATTCCCATGACTAAGAAAGGCAGAGTTAGCTATATTATGCTGAATCCCAAATCATAGTAAATTGAGTGGTCTGATATAGATAAAAGCTTCCCTGATCATAACCCTCTTTGTACCTATCATCTACAGTCCGTTCTTAGGCCTGCTGGTCAGAGCCTCCTTGGTGGTTGCATTGTCCATCTCCCGTCTGCGTCTTAACTTTTTTGTCCGGATTTTCCACAGTCGGAGACCCAAGCAGAGGAACTTCCTCATCCCCTAGCATCCATTTCTCAACGACATTGGAGGTGCCTGTAGTCTTGGACAACGCCGTCCCTGCAAATAGCGCGATGGCGGGTAGAGCTCGCATCGAGCCGGGGAGCCCACTTTGCACCCGAGAGGCTTTGGCGAGTTTGGATATCTCGGCGGTTAGATCGATGGGGAGTTTGTTCGCAGGCATGGAGTCAATCTGCTGGAGCCCTGATCGATGGAATTTTAATGACTAGACTTGAAAGGAGGAGTAGAAGTTATCTTCTTGTCTTCACGAGGGTCGTACTGCAAAGTCTGAACTAAACGGTTAGACAGGAGATTAGGCAGCATCATCACGTGTGCTTACCATGCAGTAATAACAAGGAAAGCGATATTACCTACTGCTGGTAGCTCTTAGGCGAATACGATGCTGGATATGCGACTAGTGAGCTACTTGTTTGCAAGGCACTGCGGCATGGGAGACTATCTGTATTCTCAGTAAAGGGGATCCGATGAAAATCAGCATACCAGATGGACATTATTTACTTTAATTATTCTGGATACCTTTTGGTAATTTCATAAATTATAAAGCGTGTTCTTAGGCAGAAAAGCATTGTCACAACAGTTGAGTTCAAGTCATACTAACGAGAGCCAACCTTAAACCAATGTACGTGTCGAGATCAGCCATTGTGGCAGGGAATTTCAACTGAGCAATGGCTTTTAATTTATCCTCTGCTGCTGTCATATCGATCGATGTGACCCTTTTGCCCAAGGACCTGCACTGATGGAAAGGAAACGGATATTTGGTTGGGATCCCCATCTCGGCGCATTACTTGAGATACTCAACAAGGTGCAGCTTGTGCTCCGCTAGCGTTCTACTACGCAGATTGAAATCATCGATATATATGAGGAGAAAGTGTGGAACACTGTAGATAAAACCATCAGGCAAAGATGGAAACACGCGTGGCCGCGATAAGTTACACGTCTGTTATAGATGCAGGAGGTCCCGTTGCTGATAGCGTATCTGACGGGTATTTCCCCGTCAAGGTGTTTGGATGCACTGCTTAATACGAGTCTGCTGATCGGCTGAAGAATATACCTCCGTCATGTACTTGAACGCGACTATTCGCAGGATCAATGTACACAGGTACACTTGGTATAGCTGGTTTCCGCGAGACTTGTGCCATAAATCTTGAAGTGCCAGCTTTTCTGCGTTGAAGTCCCATAACGGCAATGGATGAAACAAATGCATAGCTTCATGGTGTGCTGAGGAATATGAGCATAGGAGAGAGTGAGCGGGGTTGGATAAGAGGGTAAGCTGCTTGAGGGGAAATCAGAGATAGAATTGACACTTCTACCATTCACTATTTTTGATTTCTGGTGAATGGTCTTATCATGCTGGCGATGAAGGTGAATGTCGAACAAGTCGATGAACCATGATCTAAGATATTGATCCAGAATTCTACTACTTGTGACAATACACCCTCAACCATTAGACATCCAGTTCAGTCAAGCGATGAATACCCCATCAGTTCCCCCAGTCTGTATCTCTTTCTCTTCTAAGATGAAAAGGGATCTGCGAGCTTTGATCTGGATCAAGTCAACATGTAGAAGTTGCTGGTTGTAGGTGATGATAAACATGATGCACACAGGCTATATGAAAAGGGTCATTACTCTGCACTTTCAAAAACCTCTATTGAGACCCCAAATTGACAGCTCCATAATCCCCAGAGTGGCATTCGTAAGGCCTTTATAGCTTGAGAAGAATTGCTGATGAACCTCCCGAGTCCTAGGCCTAGGGCAATAAATATGTCATGAATAAACACCTCAGTATCACGCCGAAGAGCCAGTGCTGCTCACGGGAATTCTATCTCAGAACCACTCATTGATAATAGCCATAATTTTAGCGGCCTGCTATTCCAGAATAATATGTATAGACAAACAGAGAGACAGAAGCATTTGTGCGGGTGTACTGGTGACTCAGATTAGGCACCGATCCGAGCCATCCCCAGCAAAAGTCCGCCACCGGAAATATTCCATTCATCCAACACCCGTCTCTCAGCATCCTCATTTGGCTTCAACCGCCAAGATGAAACTCTATCTCATTCGACACGCGGAAACGGTCGATAATGTCGCTCATAGATTGTAAGTGCCTCCCCTACTTGTCCTACAATCACTAACACCAACAGAGCCGGGATCAAAGACTCGCCCCTGACAAATCACGGCGCCCTCCAGATCACCCGTCTGGGGAGATATTTCGCCTCCCAAAACATTAAATTCAGCCATATCTTCTCGTCAGATCTCTCCAGAGCAGTTCTCACGGCCGAAGGCCTCAGCGCCCATCAGCCGGAATTAAGCCCGGTATTGCTGCCGTCCCTCCGCGAACGCGACTTTGGCTCCTTTGAGGGGCAAAAGTGGCATTCAACCTGGGAATCGAGCATTGTTCCCAAGCAGCCGGAATCCGAGGCTTCTATGCGCCAGCGTGCAAATACATTTCTTACCGACTACTTAGTCCCCTTGCTTCTCGCTGGCGACGAGGAGGGGGATGAGGCTGTAGTTGCCGTTGTCTCTCACGGGTTACTTCTGCGAAGTCTGTGGCGCGCTCTACTCGCGTGTTTCCATCCGAGTGATGTTTGCATAGTGGGAGACGCGGATATCAACGCGTTTAATCCGTTCTGGGCGAATACGGGGTACTTGGAGGTCTTGGTTCGTCCGAGATTGAGTCCTTTAGTAGGAGATCCGGAGATGCCAGTTCTGGGTGGGTATTCACTGCAGGTACTTGGGGTAAACAGTCGAGCACATCTGGCGGATCTTCAGCGTACGAAGGGGGGAGTCGGGAGTGCTACTTTTGATCAGCGGCAGAAACGGATTGATCATTTCTTTGGTCAGAAGAATCGATAGATCTTGAGCCTGTCAATCTGGCAGTTGACGAACGGCTAATGGATCTTGGATCCCTGCGATCAATCTGGACTTATGACATGCCTACGATTTGCCAAGCACCACGGAGATGTTTGGATTGCGGAGCGAGCAATTTGCCATTTCTCCGCAGACACATAACCGGCAGATCTGCTGCGACAGCTCCGGAGAAGCAGACGACATGATTTGCCAGTTGCAGTCCTCTTCGGACTTTTTAGACGGAATGGCTCGTTATCCTGCAGAGTGCTAATATACTCCATCCGATTTCCCCGCTTTTTGGATATGATCAGCATTCCTCCGACTCAACCGGGAAATTCTCCGCATATCGACAGTGCTGAGATAACGTACCACAGGAACTGCGCCGAATTGGGTCATTGGCCCGTTTAGCATAAGAATATAAATGCCTCTCTAGCATGATAGATTTCAGTCTATTGTCCACAGGCAAGATGGAGTCTATTGTCTGGCTTCTCCTACTTTCGCCAGCCCTCGTGGCTGGTTCTCTTCATCCACGCATCGACAATGGCCTGGCTAAGACGCCACAAATGGGGTATGTCGCTCCTGCTGAAGGTGGACTCCTACTGACTGGCCAGGTGGAACTCGTACAACTACTACTCATGCTCGCCTAATGAAGCCATAGTACGCTCCAATGCCAAAGCGCTCGTTGATCTAGGACTCGCCGATTTAGGCTACCGCTATGTGACCACCGACTGTGGCTGGTCGGTGGCCGATCGGCTGCCCAATGGCACCTTGACCTGGAACGAGACCTTGTTTCCGAGCGGCTTTCCCGCTATGGGAAAATATCTTCACGAATTAGGGCTGCTGTTCGGCGTTTACGGGGACTCAGGAACCAAGTTGTGCGGGAGTCCCCCAGACCAAGTTGGCAGCTTGTGTAAGTCCCATCATCCATGATTTTCGCCTTGGCTAATGTACCAGACCACGAAGAGCAGGATGCGAAAACGTTCGCTGAGTGGGGAGCGGATTCGCTCAAGTGTATGTCTGTCTGCCCTTAAAAGATAGAGCCCCGCTGATCGTGTAGATGACAACTGCTATTCGGACGCCGCGACCAACTACCCCAATGTCAACTACGAGCCCAGCACATCTCCTCGTCCCCGCTACGAAATCATGTCCTCCGCCCTCGCCCGTGTCGGCCGACCAATCCTCTTCCAAATCTGCGAATGGGGTATCGACTTTCCCGCTCTTTGGGCCCCTGCGCTCGGGAGCTCCTGGCGCATCGGCAACGACATCATCCCCGAGTGGCGAAGTATCTTCCGCACGCTGAACCAGGCCGTTCCCAACACGGATTTTGCTGGACCCGGTCAGTGGGCAGATCTGGATATGCTGTATGTGGGCAACGGGGTGTTTTCGTTGCCGGAGGAGCAGACGCACTTCTCGCTGTGGGCGATTCTCAAAAGCCCATTGACTATTGGAGCGGCGTTGAAGGATGATGACACTAGTATCAACCAGGCGTCGTTGGAGGTGCTGAAGCAGAAGGATGTCATTGGGTTTAACCAGGATGCGCTGGGAGTAAGTGCGAGTCTGAAGAGGAGGTGGTCGGATGAAGGGTATGAGGTGTGGAGTGGACCACTGTCGGGCAACAGGACGGTGGTGGCGGTCATCAATTGGAGGGATGAGTCGAGGGATCTCACGCTCGATCTGCCTGATGTTGGTCTGCAGTATGCACAAGTTGCCAGAAATATTTGGGGCAAGACCGTGGTCCGTGATGTGCGAACATCGTACACTGCGGGAGTGGCAGGACATGGAACGATGCTTCTGGAGTTGCAGGGTACCATCCCGTCGGGATTATATCCAGCCAAAATCTTCGCAAAGTCTACAGATCAAAAAACCACTTTCGAGTCAATCTACGCAGCTACTACCAGCGCAAACTACGAGCTGGCCATCACCTTTTCGCGACCGTCCACCGAAACTGTCACCATCACGACCTCCTCCGGCCAGACCATCTCGATCTCCGGCAAATCAGGCCGAATCGCGCTGACTGCTGGATCGAACACCATCACCATCCAGCACAAGACCCCTATCGAGTCTATCCAGATTACCCCGCCGACCGGCACCTACTACGCCAACACGGTCTTCAACGTTACCGGCAGCGCCAAGCACACCACCTGCGGCTCGGGGTGCAGCCCCGTCGGCTCGAAAATTGGCGACCTCAGTCCCAACAGCAACGCCTACACATCCATCCCAGCGACCACCGTGGGGTCCAAGTACCTCGCGATCGACTACATCAACAACGAAGTCGCCTTCTCCTCAAGCTGGGGCTGGGGATCCAACTCGCGCAATCTGACCGTCAGCGTCAACGACGGGGCGCCCGTGCGACTGGAGGTCCCGCTGAGCGGACGGCATAGCGAGCTGTTCTCGCCTGGTAAGGGCTGGTGGGATACAGCGACGCTGGGGGTTCTGACCTCTGGATGGAAGAAGGGGGAGAATAAGGTGGTGTTTGGGAATCAGGGTGGGGAGGATGGGTTCCAAACTTATGCGGCTGATTTTGTGGGTGTCAGGATTTTGGATTAACCGATCACTGGCTGTATCTGCTGATGATTCTGATGTTCTAATGATGAATGAGCTGCCAAGGATTAGCTTAGTCTACCCCAATCTCATGAGTCACCACAGCCAAGAATTACTTGGTATTTGTCTTAGTTCCTCCACATTTCTCCACTGGAGACCGGAGCTGCCCCGTGGGCCATCAGGAAACTTGAAACGAGCTCAGCCTAATCGGGAAACCGGAGTTAGCCAGTTGACAATTGGGAGCTATAAATGCGCCTATGCATCGATCAGTCTGCGATTCTCCAACTGATTTTTTCCGTGCAATTTCGTCCTGCTGTCTGTACAATATGGCAACAACTACTACTACAACTACTACCAAAACATACTCTCGAAATGAAGACAATAACGAACTCGCCAGTATCCAACTCGAGGCATCAGATTCCCCACCATCGGGAAATGTCTTCCCCGCCATCGAACGATGGAACCATCCCAAGGCGAACATCTACAAGATCCTCGCGACCTTCTGGTGTTTTCTCGTCATGGGCGCGAATGATGCCGCATACGGTGTAAGCTAAGCCTTCTACTCCGCCTTCATTCATTCAATAACTAACACATACATAGCCTCTAATCCCCTACGTAAGTATCAGTCTCATAGTTACCATCTGAAGTATACTGACCAACAAGTTGGAACAACACTACTCCCTCACCTACACCATCGTCTCCCTCGTCTTCCTCTCCCCGCTAGGCGGATACGTCCTCGCCGCCCTAACAAACAACCACATCCACCTGCGCCTCGGCCGGCGCGGCGTGGCCATCATCGCCCCCTCATGCCACGTCGTCTCGTACATCATCAACTGCTTGCACCCGCCGTACCCCGTTCTCGTGGTGAGCTTCATCTTCGCCGGCTTCGGCAACGGGCTGGCCGACTCGGGGTGGAATGCCTGGATCGGCAACATGGCGGATGCGAACCAGGTGCTGGGCCTGCTGCATGGGTTTTACGGTGCCGGGGCGGTGCTTGCGCCGTTGGTGGCTACGGCGCTGGTTACGAAGGCGGGGGTGGGATGGTGGTATTTCTATTATATCATGGTTTGCCTTTCATCCCCCGGTGTGGGTATTATGTTGTTGACGATGGTAGATTGGCTGCGCGGTCATCGAGCTTGCCACCTCGGTCTACTGCTTCTGGGACGATACTGGGGCAGTCTTCCGGCGGGACACGCAGCATGCGACTGGTGGCACCGGCAGCGGCGGGGGCAGTCTGCGCAAGGCGCTGTTCACGAAACGCGCGGGGAGGATTACCTGGCTGTGTTCGGTCTTCCTGCTACTGTATGTCGGCGTGGAGGTTGCGCTGGGCGGGTGGATCGTGACCTTCATGATGCGCGTGCGGCACGGCGAGCCGTTTGCGAGTGGGATGGCGGCGACAGGGTTCTGGTTGGGGATTACGGTGGGCCGGGTAGTCCTGGGGTTTGTGACTCCCAGGGTGGGTGAGAAATTAGCCATTTCGGTGCGTCTCCGTTTCATTTTTGGTGTTCATGCATGCTAATGTGCAGATCTATCTCATCTCCTCCATCGCCTTCGGCCTCATCCTCTGGCTCGTTCCGAACTTTTACGTTTCGACCGTGGCCGTCGCGCTGCAGGGCTTCTTCCTCGGTCCGCTGTTCCCTGCTGTCGTGGTCGTGGCGACCAAGTTGCTGCCGCGTGGGTTGCACGTTACCGCGATTGGCTTTGCGGCGGCCTTTGGAGCGGGAGGCGGCTCGGTGCTGCCGTTTGCTGTTGGGGCGATTGCGCAGGCCAAGGGGGTCAAGGTGTTGCAGCCGTTTGCGATTGGCTTGCTAGGGGCGATTATGGGGTTGTGGATGTGTTTGCCGCGGATTCCTGCTCAGCATGAAACGTAGAGCAATCAGAGGTGTACATATCTGGTAATCAAAATGGTGATGATGTGGTCAGTGGTTGGGCGTTTTGCCGTTTCGGGATGAGTTGGAGTAGTTGGGCGTTTTTCCTGTTTGGGTATATTGCTCAACTTGCTTATCGCTGTCCATGTCCATCATCCGTCGGCTGAGGGTATAGAAACATTAAGGACATGTGCCTACCTTTGCCATCAGCCGCTGAGTTCTCGTATTCCTAATCCACTGTCCAAACTATTGCGAAAAGCTTGGACCTACCCAGCCACCAATGGCCTCGAGGTCCAGTACTTGAACGATCCGTTGGAGAATCGAACCGTCGACGCTGTGTTGCAGAGCAGAACAGGAGTATGAGTCACTGAAGTAAGAATTTGGTCTGCAGCACAGTAGCTGCTTCACTCAAGTCGTCCGCTGACATGATGAACGTCCCTCACAGTAATAGATCGACACACGAATTCTGACCTCCATCCGGCAGGTATCTAGACAGGGTACAGCATCGCAGTGGCAGCCAGCTCACTGAGACATAGCTTCAGCCTCTTCATACTTGCCCTATTGTGCGAGCATTAAACGAAGATTACTAACACTGTAGAGTGTGTCAGGATGCTCTGGCCCTAGGTCTCTCTCCCTACACACTAGGACTTGCTAATGCATAGCTTTACCTTCTTTATATATGCCCTGGTCGTTAAGAGACACACTAAGGATGCTAATACTAGTAAGAGTGTCAGGATGCTTAAGTCCTAGAACCTTCTCATAACCTTTCAAGTACTCACTGATGCATGGTTTCAGCCTCTTTAAACTTACCCTGACGCCCAAGCACCATGCCATGGCTACTGACACTACTAAGATTAACAGGATGCTCTGGCCCTAGGACTTTCTCTATCTCCTTAAGGACTTAACAGTACAAGACTTCAACCTCTTCATACATGTCCTGATCCCTAAGCACTAATCCAAGGTTGCTAACACTGCTAAGGGTATTAGGATACTCTAGTCCTTAAACCTTTTCCCTGCCTTCTAGTACTCTTTAATGCATGGCTTAGCCTCTTTATACTTACTCTAATCCCTAAGAACCAGACCAAGGTTGTTGACAATGATAAGAGTGATGTAATCTCTGGCCCTAGAACCTTCTTATAGTATTCCAGTACTTATTTATGTATAGCTTAGCCTTTTCATACTTGCCCTGATCCTGGAGCAATGACCGACTCAACATGAAAAGTACAACATATCCATCCCATTCCCATAAGCAAAGTAAAGCACTAAATCAAACAAACATCCCACAAACAAGCATTACCACCAACCCAACCCCCAAAACCGACACCCGTTTCGTGACAGCACCACTATCCCTCGTCTCACTCGCGCTCGTCCCCGTTCTCGTCGCCGTACTTGACGCCGTCTCACTCAAACTCGCCGTCGCGGTAGCATTCAACTGCCCCCCACAAAACACATCCTTATTGCCTCCGTTCTCCTTAATGCAGTCCAGCAACTCGCCCATGCTGTGCCCCTGCGCGAGACAGTACAGGCCGCATCCATCGTTGTATTTGGTCACAGCTGCCGGGGGGCAGCATTTGTCCATTATGGAGGAGTAGTTCCCTGTTGCGGGGAGGGCGCATGCCACGTCCTGCACGGGGAGAACCCAGCGGTTGCCTGTGCAGGTTGATGCTGCTGCTGTCCCTGTGGTGGTGGAGGTCGATGTTGAGGTCATTGTTGTTGTAGCCATGTCCGTGGTTTATTTGGTGTAAGGTAGAGGTGGAGTAGATGTAGATGTAGACTGGTGGTTGTATGCACAACTATTTGTATAGGTGAGAACAAAAGAATTAAAACGACCGAGCACAGATCAATTATATAGACTGAAAAGATCAGTGAATCTTATGACAACAAACAAAGAATGTAGAGCTGGCACAGCATATGATCAACAGTGCGCAGCCAATCAGGTGGGTTGTCCGGGTATCCTAGTGCTATATTTAGGTACCCTGGGGATGATCCACGTCGTTTGTGGAACTCTACCGTCCTTGATTATTGCTTGATCGACCTAAAGAAGATTCTAGCTTAGATGTCTTGAATACTAGGCTCTCGAATTTTGTTGCATGAGAAGGTTGGTTGTCTTGAGTGGTCTTTACGATGATGTCATTGCATAGTAGAGTACAGGGTATGTATTAATGGATAGAATGAATATAAAGGCATATTCAGTGCTATGGCAGAAGAAAAGTATGCTTAAACAGACTGTTCTAGGGTGTATTAAGGGTCATTGTGACAGTCAATCTCATTGAACGATAGAATGGAAGTATATGCTCCGCTCTGATCTGATCTTCAAGGTACAGACAATTATTAAAAGAAGTAAACAATATCATACATCAATCATGGCTCTACTCCATCCTTTTCTTCACCCCCTCCAACACCCCCCTCGCCCACTTCTCCCTCCTCTCAAACCCCCCATTAAACAACCCCGGTAACACCCTCTTCGCATTCGCATGCTCCTCATCAAACACCGGCCCCTCCCACCCTTTCTGTCTGCACATCTCAACCGTCTCCTCCAACAATCCAACCCCCACCCCCTTCCCGCGATACCGTCTCTCAACCGTCCACGCCCGAATAACCCCCGTCATTTTCACTTTCTTCTCATCCGCAGGAACAGGGACCCCACGCAGCACAACCGCCCCAATAATCCTCTCCCCGAACTTCGTCACAATAACCTCCTGCTCCTCCCCTTGCCCCAGTTCTTTAGGGTCAGTGCGACTAGGAAAAAGCCACTCCCCTTTCCCAACCCTCTCCGCCTCCTCAATATACCCCCCCGTCAACCCCCTCACAACCAACAACCCCGCCATCACGCACCCCGCGCTCGTCGTCCCGATGAGCGGGAGGTCGGACGAATCAGTGTATAGCGCTTTATAGACGATTGCGATGAGCGCCGCCATGGCCGATAGCCAGAGGGGGTGGAAGATGAGTGCGCGCGCGGCGGTTTGGCGCTGTTGCGCGACGGAGTCGGCGATGAGGCGGAGGGCGGGGACGAGGTCTTCTTTTGTGGTGGCGGGGTAGGTTTTTAGGTCGGGGATTTCTTGCGGAGCATCTTGCGAAGCATCTTGTTTTGTAGTAGCTGTTGTTGATGTGGTGGTCGTTGTTGGGGACATTTGGCTGGTCTTGAATGTGGTGGGTGGGTGGTGAGGTGGTGAGGTGGAAGTGAGAAAGATGGACGGGGATGGAGGTATTTAAGGAAATTCAGGCCACTTGACCTCTTCGTTTGCCCTAACTTGGTTTGGAATGAAATTGAGCCTGAACTTTCTTCATGTGATTAGATCTAATGGTGTATAGCTTCTCTTTGGTAGATTTTGTTAGGTGTGTCCGGTGTAGTCTTGTGCTTATCTAGTGGTACGCGGATCTTAGATGTATAGATGGATGATGAGAGCAATTAACTATGGTCTCTACAAAGGAACGGCTGGATTATTCACAGTCATGGCATGAATCATCTATCCAAGATTCCAAGAACAAAATCATCTACTAAACAGCCGCAACACTTGAATTATCCACCTTCTTCTGCGCCTGGATCATGGGAGAGTTCTGCACCAGGGTATCACTCTCATACTCCTCTCCGGACAACTGCTCCAGGGTCTTGCGCTTGGTCTCGGGAATGAGCAGAGTGGTGAAGCAGCCGCACAGCATGAACAGAGCAAAGATCTGCATGACGTGGTTGAGCCAGGGGGATTGCGAGGAGTCCTTGGCGCCCTTGTGCACCAGAGGCCCAAACACACACTGCGCGATGATGGCGCCAACCTTGCCGGACGCGGCGGAGATACCGTGCGAGGTGGACCGGTAGCGGGTGGGGAAGCACTCGCCGGGCACGATGAAAGTGGTGGCGTTGGGGCCGAAGTTGAAGAAGAACTGCGCGATGACGTACAGACCCAGCAGACCGTTGTTGGATTTCTTCAGGGGCTCGTAGGCGAAACCGATTACGATGAAGACGATGGTCAGGATGATGAAGCCAAGCAGCTGGATGGGCTTGCGGCCGATGGTGTCGACGGTGGCCACCGTCATCCAGTAGCCGGGGATGGCACCCGCACAGATCAGAATCAGGTTACCGACGGCGTTCTTGTAGAAGACCTCGTAGACGTTCTTGCCGCCGCTCCAGCCGATAGCACTCAGGATGATGGAGTTATTGAGACCAAGACCATAGAACGCTATTGACGTTAGTATCAATTGAGATTAGGTGGGCAGGTGATGAGACTTACCAACGTCGAGGAAGAACCAAGAACCAGCAGTGCCAAGGAGGATACTTCCATTCTTCCACTGCAAGTAGTGGCGCCAGAAATCAGCCCAGCTGGCCTTGTGGGTCACGTCACCGGCGTGCTTCTGGAGGACGGACTGGCGGCGCATCTCGTCGGGGTGACCCTCGTGCTTGCCGGTCATATAGGCACGAACATCCTCGTCGGCCTTGACAATGTCATGGGCAACATCGAAAGTGTAGCGGGGAGTTTCGGGGATGGTGAGACGGTAGTAGAGGGCAATGCAGGCAGGGACGGCACCGAAACCGATAACCACACGCCACATCTTGTCGACAGCAAGCTGGCAAACACCGGAGCACTTGCCCACGGAGCCGGCAGTCTCCAGAGATTCCTTGAAGCCGGCAGTAACAATCAGAGCGACGATGGCCGCCGCGAACTGACCGAAACCCTGCATGGCAAACACGGAACCCATCATGGCACCTCTCCACTTTGTAGTCGCGAACCTAGAAATATCATGTCAGAAAAGCCAACAGCAGAGAAGTTCAAACAGCTGGACGGGACGTACTCTGAAGTAATGATAGAAGATAGAGGGTAATCGCCACCGATACCAATGCCCATAATAACACGCCAGAAGATGAGAATACCAACGATGGAGATAGCACGCGAGTCCGAGGAGAGAGCCTGAGCCAGAGTGGCCATGATGATGATCATCAATTCAATACCGTACATGCGCTTACGACCAATGCGATCCGCAAGCCAACCGAAAAACAACTGTCCAATCACCGTACCACCAGAGGTAGACACCTTGATGGCAGTATCTGCACTCGAGGGAATCTTGCCGGGGCTGGACTTGGCGTCCTGCCAGAAGACAACACCCAACATGCTGGAGGCCAGGTTGATGGCGAAGATATCGTAGGAGTCGGTGAAGAAACCCACACCGGCAACGACAACAGCGCGAACGTGGTACCAGCCGAACTTGGCATTGTCAATCTCGGCCAGAGCCTGACGACGGCGCTCTTTGGGATCCTCCACGTGAACCAACTCATTGTTGTAGTTCCGGAAGGCGGAGTTGCCGCCTCCAGTAGAAGCCATGGCTGGGTTGGTAGAGGAGAATAGAAAATATTAAAGAAGTATAATTGAACGAAAAGGCCACGCCAGGCAGGGGCTCAAAGTTGTCGAACCTAGTCCTCGAAAGATTCGAAGGAACTTCGTGGTCAAGGATGGGATCGACCCCCTTTTGTACAGAGAGTACAGAAAGTACACAGATGAAGGCGTTTTTAGCGTACATGGCTTCAGCCCGTGGACGAGAATAAACGAAGGCTGCAACGAATCGAGACCGCGAGATGGGGCACGATAGTGAACTTGGACCCCGGCCATGTTCGTGTCAACCACTCCGGTGACTAAGGTATGTCACTCTGCGCGCATGCGAGAAAGTCAGGGAGCCACTAGGATAGCGATTCAAGCTTGCCTAAGCTTCATCAAGACCTTTGCCCAGACGGCCGACGCTGCTTTTTTACTCTTGGTAGGCGTTGCTGAATTGGTCATTTAACCTGTCTACGACTGGGCCTCTGGTTGGTTCGGGCCGTCCGAGCTGTCAAACCTTTCGGCCAATATACAGCCAATCAAAACGTCACTTTCCAGAACATGCTCAGTTCCGCCGTGCTGAGTGGCCAGGGACCCACAGCCGCGACAAGAAATTGCTGCCTCGAGGGCGTTTGACGGCTTGCGAAGCCTAACCATCTCAGCTACTTTGTGCTTGCTCGTAGAGTTCTGCTTCACTGCTTTCCAGGGTTACATACAAATGACATCGAACTAGCATCTCACCATGTCAATGAATGAGACGCTGCCGTTGTCGCACGTGCTGTCCTTCCGCACTATGCAAGTGACTTGGACCTCCTCGATGCAGCCTGTTTGGGCGTTGACCCTGGAACAGCAGAAGCAATATGATGGAATATCAGCCATTCACAAGCAAAGATATCGTGATACCTGCGCCATGCTGATGCAGGACTAGGAGAAGAAGGGGCGAAGAATTTTCTGCGTTCCAACATTCCATCCCTTGCGCTGGGGCGAGGCATACGCACGTGGACCAAAAGATGTTCTAGAAGGTTGCAGCTGTATCGGCTCTAAGCAGGAGTACTCATGCCTCGGCCACTTCACCCAGCTGACTGGAAGACTCTGATGCGTCTACCGCGGCGAGGTGTGTGTCTTGCCAGATCAGCTTACTCTTGCAATCTGGGATCGCGGCAACAGATCTGGCTCTGAATTCAATGCTTAAGATTATTGCTAGTTTCAATATCGGAACGCACAACGACAAGACTTCTCTGCCAAGTACACTACCTACAGCCATGGCAGCGTAGCTTGAAGCAGAACAAGCACTTGCCAAGTTGTTAGCAGTATCTGAAGCCACACGTGATGGACGTTGGAACGGGCCTCACGGACATCTGTCCCGAGGTCCGCCTTGGCTGGAATGAGGGCTGATGCAAGCGGCGAGTCGGAGTAAACCTCCGATTGTTGACATTGTATAGTTGCACCTTATATGGTATACAGACTAGACGTAATTACGACTGAACTTGATATCAAACTTGCAGTCGTAGATATGCAATATCGGAATCTGTGAGTCTCCACAGCCATGTGAAACTGAAAACGGATGGATATACCGTTGTGCGTACTAACACGATCGTCAGGTACAATGCCTATTCAAGTAACGCTACATCTCATCTGATATCGCCATAACCACGTTCTGTGCGACGTCACTGACACTATCCAAATACATAACATCATAAGACACCATCCTCGACCACGGAAATACTATCATGTCATACACTCATCATCACCCGTAGCACATAGCACGTAGCATAGCACATCATCATTATCAAATGAAGTGGCGTCTCCTCAAGCTACTTAAACCCCTGCCCTAGACCAACACACGAACTCACCAGACACACATGATACATGATACGTGATACGTGATACATCCATTACTAGATCATCAGACAAACACAAACCATGCCTCGAGCCCGAAGCCGAAGCCGAAGCCGCGAGCCCAGCGAAGGCCGCGACCCCGAGAATGTAATGCGGGGATACAAAGCGTTCGCCTCATCTGCCAATCCAAAGTAGAACAAAAACTGACAAGAGCAGCACCCTCCGCAACCCAAATGTCTCGCAGGAGGCCAAGCAGCATGCGCAGCAGGAGCTCGATAGGTACGAGAGTGGTGACGCCACCAGCAAGAGTGAGGAGGATCGGCATGCGTCGAATGTGAAGAGGGGGTTGAAGGCGTATGTTGTTTTTGATGAGAGTTGAGCGATAGCGTCAGTGCTGATGGCGAAACAGGGCAACGCATAATCCCAACGTGACAGACATGGGGAAGAAGCAGGCGAGGGATAAATTGCAGGCGATGGGGGAGCAGCCGGAGGAGCCGGGTGATTAGCTTTCCACTCTCGGAGTATATGTTGTACGCTATGCACATGTCTGTAGACGGCTATGCAAATAGATTATGTTGAGAGGTATCTAGTATATACAAGTTCGAGTTGAGTCTATGCTTCTATCGTGGGTGAGGATTACAATCCTCGCTTCATCTTCCAGCGCATGATGAATGCGGCAAATGGGTATAGTAGGATGGACAATCCGATCCACGCAAACAGAATGCCAAAGTCGAGTCCAATCCGGGAATGCGTGCCGAAGAGAATAGTCCGGAGCGCCTCGACAACTGCACGGGTTAGACAGCCGCCAAGGCAATTCGAAGGATGGAAGACTTACTGCGATGCAAAGGCCAGGCATAACCCCAAGCGAAGAATCCAGGGGCCAGATCCAACGCATAAAAGCCAGTGGCGACGTTGGTAATGACCCAGAAAATGAGAAAGAGTGCACTGTAGGGAAATCCGAGGATCATCCCCATGTTCTCGCAGGGTAGTCCGAGCGCAGTCATGCCAACCCAATTCAGCATCCAGAATACCACGAACGATCCATGTCCATAGGCGTTGGCATCGTCCGCAGGCAACGTATCCGGCGCTGGACTATCGGTGAACGGGATCTGGAAGGCCAGCGACACAAAGGAATAAAACAGCGACAGGAAAAAGTAGGCCAGGATGCTTGAACACAGCCGCCAGATGAGCCACTGCACGTTTTTCAGAGGCGGGTGGTCCCCCTTGATGAACTGCATATGAATGGGCATGAGGAATGGAGTGTTGAAAAAGGCGATAATGATCAGGTAAATCAAACCGATGGTCACGGACGGCGTCGCAGCAGCCGGGCCAAACGGTCGCAGGTCAACTTTGTAGAAACCAATCGCCGGATTGACAGCTTGCGGCACCCGGGAGATGTCCATAGACTCTTTTGTGAGAGTCTGAATCCACCTGGGGCCAAACTCGGCAAAAACTTCCAACTGGAACCAGGACAAGGCCGGTTCGATGTAGTTGAAATATGTGGCCTGGTCACGCGCGCTGATGACTATAAATTGAGCAGCGCCATTGGGATCGTACGACGAGTGGCCGTTGGTCACGGCTTCGTATAGGAGAGTAGTAGCATTAGGGTTGACAATGATTGCGGCATATGCATGTTCATCATAGACCCCTTGCCGGACCGCCCAAGGATCATAGTTGAAGTCTGCCGGCGATCTGATTTCATAACCCACGTGTTCTGTATCCGACTTGATAAGCCGATTCGCGACATCTGTCACGGCTGGCCCAACGATGGGCGTGATGCTCTCATTCCTGTATGGTTCCACCTGGTTATCGAAATCGACCACCCAGACGGTCAAAGTGTGCAGTCTGTCTTCCGTCCGGAATTGGACGGCCCAGTAGAGCGAAAGAATGCCGAGAATAAAAACACACAACCCAAATACTAGTGAGATTCGAACGTCTTAGTGTATATTCAATAGTTTCGGGATGATGATAAAGTGTTCCTGAAACGACTCACCCGTCCGACCCCAGAGGTATATGATTCGCTTGCGGGTCTCTTGTAACGCTGGATCCCAAAAGCCGACCGAGGCGGCAGCGGTGGAGGAGGGCTTAGTCTCCCGGAGAGTCTCGGTCGATTCGGTGCCGTTACCTCCAGATTTGTTGTCTTCGATCATGGTTATGAGGTGATTGTCTCAAAGACATGGATAATTGAAAGATATTAATTGTAAGAGTTCAAGGAAAGGACAGAGATATTAATACTGCCGCAAACATGATGTGCAGCGACCGGCATCCGATGGAAAGTCAATGATGGGGTTGCTGGCTGAGAACGGCACATGGCCTTTGCACTTGGCATAATTCCCCACTGCGGATGTCCAAGCACTGGGCCCCGTTCTCCGTCGTTAATTCCGGCTAACTTTGTTTCTTACTTTGCTGGCACAGGAACATACCTTCTCATCTCAGAAACTGCGGAATTATAAAGTCGGTTCTCAATCTCGCTGTTCGTTCGAAGTACGACATTACCATTGCCCTCTCACTTTGGTGATCTGTTCAGTCTCGTCATAACCCCCGTGGCCATATTTCGCCGGGGATTATGATCATGAACCCAATTCAGGTCAATCGCAAATCAGATCGATTACAACGCCTGATGAGATGAAGCGGTGTATGACGCAGCTGCTGTAACTTTGATCTCATAATCCTGCTTCGATTACCGAGGGATATCCGAGATGTGCCATGGATCATTCTTAAGACCAATGCAACCTCAGTGTAGCCTCATCATACTTCTGTATATATGTTCGGCCTGAATGACAGCTTCATCTTTGATTTCTAGTACAACGATGCTGCCATAGAAGGTATCATCACTAGTCAGTTAACCATCATCCTTAGTTCAGCAGAGACCAAGAGATGTGGGGACATCCTTAGACTGTTAACTTCGAGAATCCTCTCACATAAGCATGGCTGATCGACGGCTAAATCATGCAGGGTGCATTCAAGTTTTGAATCATGTTGTGTACCCAGAAGAATAAGCAACCATTAAATGGCATCTAGTCTAAGCAGACTGAAATAGGCTGTAGAAAGACCATCATATTACAGTAGCCTCAATAGGTGAACTATGTCCTCTGAACAATTATCGTACTTTCTTACAACAACTTGTATCTGATTATTAGGTTTAATCGGCTTCGGGCTACAGGAGCATG